TAATTGTTGCTTATTTATCATGAATATGTAATGTTACAGAACATACAGTACTAATTGATTGAAAACCAGGGGCTTTAATAACATCTAAAAATGCAATTATTTCCAAACCAAAGACCTTTGCCGACCTCCACGTGCCACAAACCTGCCTACCGATATCTTTGCCTCCTTCTTGACAGACAAAGTGGCGGCTTTGACTAGCCAATTCTCTAAACCACTCAAAAACAGTTGGTCTTCTCTGGTCATTGGCTTTGCATTCTCCCCGGCCAGCTCCTGCTCTGTGAGCAAGCCTAACATGTAGCAGTCGTACTACATCGCCTCCTCTGTCTTCCCTGGTCAAAGTACACTTCACTCTCCTCATTTACTCCTCTCACAGGGAGAGAGGCATCGAAACTCCTGGCTTGCAGCCGTCCTACCACATTCCCGCTGGACCTGATTCCTACCAATCTCCTCGAAGTCATATCTCTGACCGTAGTGCTATCACTCCAGTGATATATAATTCTCTGGCTTCGGGAATTTTCCAAACAGCTTTCAAAAATGTAATCCTCAACAATGCTCGGTCCTTATCCTGCTAGACCTGTCAGCTGCCTTTGACACAGTCAACCACAGCATTCTGTTATCTGCACACTATGCACTCTACGGCCCCCTCTTCTCAATTTACACCACCACACTGGTGCCGATAATTTGCTTGCATGGTTTCTCTACATGTCCTTCCCGCCAGATGACTGTCTCAGTGTGTATCACGGATTTTCTCTTCTTCAACTAAATTTCTCTGAGACTGAACTCTTGGTCATCCCATCCAAGCAGTCTAACTATCATTACTACAAACTAAGAAAAATCAGGCACTATATCCAACTCTGGAACAGGCCATAGTTATCTCTCGCCTCAACTTTTGCAATACCCTCCCAGCAGGTCTTCCAGCTTGTGAAATGAATCCCCTACAAATAGTCCAGAACGGCATGGTAGGTTTTCGATCACCCCCAAAAGACTCATGTCACTCCAGTACTCAGTGAGCTCCAATGCCTACACATGGCCTCCCGAATCAAATCCAAGTCTAATCAAATCTAATGCTTGCATACAGAATGACTACTGTTCTCATTTGTGACACCACAATGGTTAAAACAAGCTGCCACATGTCATCAGAGCAGGGATGTCCCTCTCAATCTTCAAGAAATCTCATCTCTTCTGAGAACAATTTCTCTCATAACACCTCTAACCTCTAACCTCTTACATGCACTTCCTATGCTTTTCTTAAAAACTCACCTTCCAACTCACTTGTCATGATTGCACTAACTCTCATTGCTTCCCCTAGGTATCTATCCTATTGATGCCATTAGAGTCTATAGCTCTTACTAGTATTATTGCTGCTCTTACTAGTATCAATTGTTACCCGTAGATCTCTTAATTTACTGATGCTCGTAAGTTGATACTCAAATATAAGTCGTTTTGGATAAAGGCATCTGCCAAATGAGTAAATCTAATGTCTTGAAAAAAGGAAACATTCAAATCCAAGGCTCCATATGTTTACAGCGTTCAGTCAAAATGAAAATATTCTAGACATCTCTCAATCTTGTTTTACGCATTTACTCAAAATACAGTCTACCATAATGTGTGTCTTTAGAAACTGGGATCTCCACTAGAATATAAAATTAATTTCTGCGGCTTTAAACAATGTCTTGCTGCAGAGTGTGAGTTTGTAATGAGTAATTACAGGGTTAGAATAACCCAGCCTCAGTCTGTGTGCTAAATGGAAAAAATATCTGGCTCAAAATGTAGGTTCTTGTCATCTTTTGCAAGCATTGAAGTCCAAACTGGGTGTGCTTATTTCTGCTTTCATGCATGAAAGGTATCCTGTATATTTGTCTGACCTCTTTGTATAGTAGACCTATGATGATGAAATAAATTAATGGCCATTTATTTTGGCAGGATGAAGCAGAACAAATTTACATAAGCAACATTTAATGAATGCTACACGTTTGCAACAAATTGTCAGACTTCAGGGGTCAAAAAGCTCCTGGTAGGACAGTGTGCACTCTGGAGACCCCCCCCATTTTTTTGTTTCATTAAACTGTGACTCAGAAGCAATCTCGGCCTGGACAGTCTCTCCACTTCTTTCAAAAAACTGAGAAACAAAGGTCTGTGTGTCCTTGTGTGAATAACCCTTCTACACAACGTCATCTACTCAGCGAGACAACTTCTCTGAGCTTGCCAATGCTTTGAAGGATCATCCAAATCGTTTTTGCTTTGTTAATTATATAATTACAGGTTTTGTACAAGATTTTCTTGCCTGCTTAAGTTTTCTTCCAAAAGAATCCCATCTCTGTAATAACCTTAAATCTGCTCTGACAGAACCAGAAACAGTGGACAAGTTACTGGCTAACGAGGTTGAGAAGGGGTACATGGTTGGGCCTCATGATAATTCTTCCTTATTCATATTCCACATAAATCCTGCCCGCATAGCAACTCAACTCTTGTTAGCCCCTCATGATGATAGTGCTTCAAGTATTAATAGCCTCACACCTCTTGCGCCGTTATCCCTATGCTATGCAACTGTTTATAATGCAATTCAGTTCATCAAGCTTGCCAGGAAAGGCACATGGCTAGGTAAAGCTGATGTAACAGACCCCTTCAAGGTCATGCAGCTCCATCCGTCGCAGTGGCACCTTTTTGAGATCAAATGGTGAAATAAAGTGTATATTTCTACTAACCTTTGGTTGCTGTCTCTATTAGGCCATCTTAACTTTGCCATGAGAATTATTCCCCAAGGCAGATCATTCATATGTAGATTGCTCAACCTCTCAGCAACTGGATATTGCTGGTCTTGATGAAAGATATAGATCTGATCAAAGATTTTGATCATTGCTGTGCAATACGGCATATTTTTGTGCTGCAACAATTTCGTAGAGTTGTCAGTTGCCCTCAGATATCTTGAGGTGGAGTACAATTTCACTTTCTGCGCAGCACACCTACCTGACTCCATGTCCTGATTTAAATTCCAGGAATTCAGGATCCTTTGCCCCCACACTGTGCCTCAAAGCCTGCATTGCCCAGCCTTTGACCAAACTATCCTAGATTAGAAGGCAGTCTTCAGTTTTACATGAACTCTGCATCTCATTTCATGTGACTTACTTGCAAAGAGTAAAAATAAAAATGTATGGCTTCACTTGGTCCTATTTCACTTCCTTCATGCAGCCTTCTCTGTTCCTGCCATGCCTGTTAACATCCCTACAATTGTGCTTTTATTGTTCACAGTTTTAAATCCTAAAAAAGCCTTCTTCCATCAAAGCATTTGTTGAAGGTATTCAGTTTCATTTAAGATGTGCAGATCCTTCAGTATGTAGCCTACTCTGCAACCCATTTGGCTTCTCTTCAACGGCCAGAAAGAGGTGAAAAGCGCCTTCCCCCGTCATTACCTCTAGTGAAGCTATCATCTCAGCTCAAAAGGCTTTAAGTGCTAATACCTAAGAAGATGAACATTAGTAACTTGTTTGTTTTTAAATAGAAATGCTGCATTTTAAAGTGGTTGGCTGGGTTTCACTGCTCTGATTTAGGTAACATGACGTCACATGGGATGCATGCTACATCCCTCTCAAGAAGTATTACGTGATGGCCGAGATTGCAGCAGGCTTGCTGCCACTCATAGATATTTCACATAACTGTAGGATGGCCTCTTTCGGGATGTATGTTTGCATCCCTGTTCTTAAGATAATATATTTCTGTTTACACAAGAAAATTACACAAGAAATATGATATATTTTATACAAGGTCAAGTGTTATGCTGATAATATATTTTGAGACATTTTGTAACAGTCATAGGTGAATTATCCAAAATACAGTAGATGTCTAGTGCAAATGGAAAGTCTCTATTACCACAAACTGTGAAGGAACAAGAGACAAGAGTCATAGCTGCTTTAATTAGTTTGGTTTCATAGTAATAATTATCCATAGAGGGACAACCTGAGGAGACAGACAACAGAGATATGATGAGATTGTTTCAGACTCAACAGTCACTGGCATGTGTTTAATTTAAAAGATTAGGAATTCCATGACATTCAGTGAGAAACAGACAAGTTGGTGTTGTCCTTGTTCTTGTCTATTTCATTGTTGGTTTTCTTCAAGGCAAACTTCACTCTAGATAAGATTGATTGCCTCCTCTCCACTTTTTACCCTCATTAAAACAACACACTGTCAACACAAAGGCATGCACATGTACACACTAACCAAAAACACATATGCACATGGTTCAGTGGCATGACAGCGTGCATGAGAGGGGTCCCTAGGGAGAGCTCAGTCCGAGCAACTTCACTGCTCTGCCTAATTGATGTGTGTGAGAGAGCGTAGGTCCAAACTAACCTCACCTTTCTCTAAACAGTGCTAGCAGAAAATGAACAAGCCTGTCAGTCATGTGCTAATTTAGTCTCTATGGAAAGTCTGAGCCGTCAGCCTGTCAGTCTGACAGTTTATATCATCCTGAGATTATAAGACAACCGTGAAACAATGCAGCCAAGTCCTGAAGAGGCCTGAACCTATTAACAACTCACACAATACCTCTATCCTCACACACACGCAAATCGACACAGATTCAATACTGAGGGCAGTTCTTTCAATGTATGTGCAGCTAATGTAGTAGTAGTTACAGCTACTTAATGGATGAATTATGGCTGACATGGAGGGTCAGAAACAGCTAGGCTTTTAATAGAGGGGCCTATTAAAGAAGCCTTTAAAATATCTTATTTCTGAGCTATATAAATATATAATATAACAAATATAAATGGAACAATCCATGCAATGAACAGAAACACATCATAACCTATTTAAAATGAAAAACAACTGCGTACAGTACAACATCACCGCTTTTATCAGCTGACATGGTCTTCAACCACAGTCCAAAAGTCATGGAACAAAATTAATCTGTCTCTGCCATGCAATTTTTTTTATAATTGCGTAAATTCCGGCAACACTTGAAGGCAGCGTTGACTCGGTGTTGCTCCGTTGTTATGGTAACGAAGTGACAGTAACTTAGCTGGCCAGCTAACTTAACTACAAAACGAGAAACCCGGATTCAGCTTTACAGGGACGTTTCAGGATTTGTGGTCGCTTTATCTTCCTCCATGAGCAGGTGAGTAGGGAGTAGCTTGCTTACAGTGGTTGTCGCGTTAAGGTTAACGTTAATTCACAAAACATAATTTGCCTCAGTGCCTACACTTCATTATGCAACGTTAGCTTCTTACTAATTTGAGCTACGTTACTAGCTGCCCTGGTGGTTAATGACGCTATTTCAGTGCAGAATGTTGTTTCAGCACAACACGTCTTATTAAATAAATAAATACTTAACGCTAACTTTAAATACATAAACAGTTATGGAAAATACGGTTTTATCCTTAGTATCAAAAGGAATACTGAACAAGGTCACTATACTGCCAGACATAAACCTTAAAAACGTATTGAAATGTTAACTCATGCTAATTAGGTTAATTCACAAGCTATAACAATAACAAGGCCTGACCTGATTTAACTTCCAACTTTACTTTGATGTCCAGGTTAGAGTGTTTGGGGAAATCCTCCACTGGTTTACAGAAACAGGTAGGCTAAACAATAAGGAATAAAGTCGGTTCTGTTTAATTACAAAACTCTACTTTTCTATCAACATTATATGCTGTTTTTATGGATTAATTACATGTTAATATTCAGTGTTGCCTCTTTTGTAGTTGTTGGTTATGATGCCGTAGGTCACACATTTTCAATGTTTGTTGCTACTGTACGTGTCCCAATAAACATTGAATGAATATTACAATCATTTTGATCTCTCTACCTGGACGTAGTTGGCAGTAGAAGTCACCTCTGCTCATGCTGATGCACACAAGCCCAGCGGTAAGAAGCAGTTGAGACATGACAGCAATGTATAAAACATCTCATCCAGATTAGATTTCACCAAAGTTTTCACCTTGTGCTTTCGGCAAGCTCATATTCTAATTATGTCCTAGACAAAGTGGGGAAAAAGAGAGACACTGATAAACCTCGGTGAGAAACGTCTATCCTTAGCAAATATACATTTCTGTCATAACAGACCACGCTCAGCCCAGTATTTTTATTCTTTTATTTACTTGCATCCAGCAGGCTTCCTCCTGCCCGTGCACTGCCTGCTTCTCTACAGGTTGGTAATCTGTGATAGATTACGCCAAGACTGGATCGACAAAAATACATTTTGCGTCACTGCTGAACTTGAACTTTTTGTTATTCTCAAGGTTTCTTGCCAGCAAACTCTAAGGTCTGGGTTTCCACATGGGGATGTGCTGAATACAGACGGTATGTGGTGGTGGACTCTCTGAGATTGAGGTGAAACTAATCTCATCAGTACTAAATCACATAGTGTTTAGAAAAAATAAACAGAGAGAAATCTGTTTCTGAACAGGCAGAGATCACAATGTTTCCCCTTGTTGACATGTTAAGGAGTGCAAGTCACTTCTCTTTTTTCATTGCAGTTGCTGTTGATTACTATCCACAAATACATGGATAGATGTGTATGTGCATTCTTGTTAAATATGTCATTCTTGGAAATGTAGTAAGTCACAAAACAAAGTCACTAACTGTGACAAAATTAGAAGAGACAGGCTGCTTACACCAAAAGTAAACAATGGCACTTCACCACAAAGCAACTGCTGGAAAGTGAACTTCATTCTGTAAATTGATGATCATCTGACAAAGTATCTGAGTCTGGGATAATGTTATTTTATAATCTTGAGATGTTCAATGTCATGTGTCCTCATCATGTCTCCGGACTGTTACAGTAAGTTCAGTGTTTTGTTTACAAAATGATTTCAAAGGACAGTTTCAGCTTGTTCTCTTCACGCATGATTAAACACAACTGTCTTGCCAAAAATAAATATTGACTGAATTAAATGTCGTGTTTGTCTGTGGTTCTCCTGTAGAGTGCTCACCAAAGGAACCCATCATCCATTCATCAACACCAAGGTCTGTTTTTAGAATCCACTTAGTAGGTGATAAGACAAATTAAATGTTTGCAACACATGGTTTTAAATCTTAAATGGGATTTCAGGGTTGAAGAACAAGGGCAGTCGACTGCAGTGCTTGATGAAGAGCTGAAAATAAAAGAGCTGAGAAAGTCACAGCCCCCAGACACAACAGTGACAGGTGTGTTGTTGTAGAACAAACTCAAATTGCAAAGAAAGACACTTAGAGAAGGGAAACTTGGAGAGGGAGTTTTGTTGACAATAATGATGATCATGACGATGATAATGATTGCCAGGAGGAATGGCACTTGCTCCCCCCGCAGTTGAGCCTCTTCCCACGCATGAGGTGAATGGGGAGGAAGAACAGACTGAGGAAGTGGATGTTGAGGATGAAGACATTAGGGCACCAGTGGAGCTGATAATGGAGGTAAAGTGACTGATTGCCATCAGTGATTCCACACTTCATGCTCTGTTAAGACGATGGGCTAAACTGCAGTAGTTTTGTTTCCGATATCAAAAATGATTTTAATCATTGTTTCAGTGAAATATATATTTTTACTCAACTTGGATGTGTTCAGTTGAAAGAAATTGAAATAGAAAGTCATGTGAAACTGTATGGTTTCAGTTCCTCAGAGCTGTGATGGACAGGGACTTTCAGCTGGCCAGCAAACTGTGTCAGATGAGTATGTATCCTGCATCCCTCAACCGCATGTCAGTCAATGAATCAGCCACTGGTGTTGTCAGCCAATGATGCCTCTTCCCTCCTCGTTCTAGTTCTCATTTATGAACCAGGCAATCCTGAGGCCTCTGAGTTTCTCCCGCTGATCCAGAAGAAGCTGTTGGAGGGTGAGAGTCCCCCTTTTTTATGCAAAAACAAACCCTTAACGCTGCATATTCCACAACACACCACGAGTTTGTGTCGTGCCTTTGTCCATTAGAGCAAGAGGCAGAGCAGAGCACTGAGGAAGATGACCCAGAAGATGAGGAGGATGAGGAGGACGATGATGATTCTGAGAGTGATGAGGAGTCATCTCAGAGCTCAAGCTTCTCCTCTTCTTCACCAACAGATGATGATGAAGAAGAAAAGCAAGTGAACAGACACAAGCCATGTCCTCCTTCTCACATTTGCCCCTAAATCTATTGTACCAATACAACACAGGCAATGTTAGGTTCGATCAACAGAGAGCTCTGCTAATAGCATATTGTTACTGTTGGAATATTGTGTTTATTTCAGTCCACAAGGCTGCTTTGCACTGTAGCAGTCTTTGAACATTTTGTAGATGTTGTGACAATTATGTATTTTTTTCATGTCACCTGATATAAATAAAATATTCATTGTGGATAAAACTGATGCCGATGTTTCATAGAAACATATAAACGTTGGACTACAAGGTCAGATATAAAAATAAATCATCTGTGGACCTGCATAAGAAATTGTAAAGTTTTAGATGTTGGAATTCACTTTACTAGTTAAAAGGTAAATCTACTAGATTCATATCCATTCAAAGTCTGATTGTTTTATATCAAGAGACACAATTATAAACTAAATCCTGAACCTATTGACCATTAAAACACTGAGGTTTGCATAAACCCAAATTGAGCATTCAGCTCCTGGCCAATTGAGCTTCAACACAACACTGAATAACCACCAACCAATGTGATTTTTTTTTTTTTGAAAAATGGCAATTTCAGTCTAAAATATAAGTATGTAACATTAAATACGCATGACTAAATATGCAAAAATCAGCAGAAAACACACACGCCGAATGGATGCCATCTTTGTGTTTGGGCCACAATGAAGTGAAAGTGACAGACAAAAAGTCAGTGAAGGAGACGCTTGAAACATGAGAAGACAGGAGAGGGACTAGAGGAGAGGGTTCAACAGGAAGTGCAGAAAAAGTACAAGAAAATAAGAGTATGTGGCACAACAGGAAGTGAAGAAGATGGCACAAGAAGCAGAGGAAGCGGCACAACAAGAAATGGACACAACACAAAACCCTGAGGACCAGAATGTAGAGGGATGTGTGCTCTTCAAATCTAGGCACAATGAAACAAAGCATATAAATATTACAATATTTATATAGGTAAAATATTACAGTGGACTTCCTAGCTATGCCACTTTGCAGGTTTTGTTGTGCCATTTCTGCCTCAGGGAAGAATAAAGTTGCCACCTTTTCAGATGCTCCTTCTTACCATCATGCGCCGGAGATTCAATCTGACTCTCATCAGCCATTTATTTGGTGTGCACTGAGCAACTAATAGTGCTGCATTTCAGTACACAGTGAATGTTTTGTACTCACACTTGTCTCCACTGGTGCATCAGCCAGACAGCAAGATTTTGTGGGACAGTATGCAGAGCCAGTTTGAGAAGACATTTTGAAATTGTGTTGCTGCCATTGTGGACTGCTTTGAAGTTTTCATCGAAAGACCATCCAATTCTCAGGCAAGGGCACAAACATTTGCAAACTACAAACAGTCACAATGAAATACCTCATTGGCATTACTCCACAAGAAGTTATTTCTTCTGCACTACTGACAAATGTATAACAGAGAACGGTGGTTTTCTAGACAAACTACTGCCAGGTGACAGTGCTGTCAGACTGATGTCTCGACATAAAGGACTGTGGGAATGATGTGTGCTGTAGTGAAGATACTGACATTCACAAAGGGTCGCCATGTGTTGGATGTGGAGGAAACAAGATGCATTGCACATCTCAGAAGTGGAGAGAATTATTGCAGTTGAATTCAACAAAAACAAACTGGTGACCTGATACCAGTAGCATAAACAATGTGTATATTAGAGGAGGTGATCCTGACTGCCCGAGCAGTAAACCAAAATGACGATTTTAGCTGTTTCTCTTTTCACTCTGTTCAGCCAGATCCTCTGAAACATCAGCTTGTTTTTTTTAAGCTTGTTTCATTTCCCTGCACCAGATAGTCGCTTCCACTTTAAAAGGCAGGGCCACAACGTAGGTGCATGTCTGCGATGTATAGTGGGCTGAAGATGCTTCAACAGTGGAGCTGATGATAACTCAAACTTTTAGAGGAACCTCACCGAGGCGCTAGGAGTGCAAACCTGTTGCACGACAGAAACATCAATCACAAATCATGTAACAAATGACTTAGAGTTGAGTAACAGCAAGTACCCTGCATGCAAACCTAAAGAATCTTCTTTTTATGCACACATTGTAGGACTAACCTATAAAATCATCTCCATTCAATTTTACTCAACATAACCAAATACTAAACATATCTTCCCACTGCAAGTACAAAAACCTGCCTTTTTTATCAAGCAAATTATTAATGTGAATGATCAAATCATCTGCCTGAGAAAGAGACAAACAAAACCAAAACATACCAAGCATGCCGCATTCGCCCAAAAGAATAAAAATCAAAAACAAAAAAACAAAAACACACCAAAGCAGGTATTACTATCAGGAGTCATGGCAGGTATTACTATCAGGAGTCATGGCAGGGGGGGTTGTGACAGCTCTCACATGATGAGCAGATCTTACACACTTTGAAAACCCCTGAGTAGGCACTACAAGTAACCCTGCATTTTGGGAGCACAGTGCTCTAGCGGAGCAGTATGGTATAATGAGTTCTTTCAAATAGGATTGTGCCTGACAATTAGGGGCTTTGAATGTAAGAAGAAGAATTTTAAATTTAATTCTAGATTTTCCAGGGAGCCAGTGCAAAGTAGCTGAAACAGGGTTAATATGATCTCTCTAACTAGTTCTAGTCAGTATATGAGCGGCAGCATTTTGTATTAGCTGGAGAGACTTAAGAGATTTGTTTGAGCAGCATTCCTCACGGTGGAGCTGGAGGCCAGGGCATCTAAAGCAAAGTATGTCTTCAGACAATGCGTCTCGGATGTGTTTGGGTCCACATACTATAGCCTCAGTTTTTTCAGGGTCCAACATCAAGAAATTATAAGAAATCAGGTTTTCACATCATGGATGCACATTTAAAGCCTAGCTAACTGGTTGGTTTCGCCAGGTCTGATTGAAAGATATAAATGAGTATCATCTGCATAAATCTGCATCCATGAAAATTTATGTTGTGTTTCCTGATGATATTACCTAGCATATGTAAGGTGGAAAAAATAGGTCCAAGGATGGAACCTTGCGGAACTCCATGGGTAACTGCTCTGCAGAGAGGACAAGAGAGCATTGACATGTACAAAAATGGGAGTATTCTGATTAGTGAGATTTAAACAGGTTTAAAGCAGTTCAGAAACTTGAACATTTAATTGCAATTTAATGTTCAAGTTTCTGTAATAAGATATGGGGATCACTCCTATCAAATGCCGCACACAAGACCAATACAGAGACAAGTCCCTTATCTGATGCAGTATGTGAGTGGAGGCAGTGCGTCTGGGATCATGATCCAGTCTCTGCCAAGTCATATGGATCTACATTGTTTATGGTTATTATCCATCAGTCTTCAACCGCTTATCTGGGGTCAGGTCGCAGGGGCAGCAGCTCCAGCAGGGGACCTCAAACCTCTTTTTCCCGAGGCACACTGTCTAAATACTGTTTCTTGGCAGTGACATTCAATTTCTGCCATTGGGGTCTTTTTTCTTTTTCTTTTCCTTTCTCCATCAGATTTTACAGATTTAAACAACTTTTTGGCCAAACTAAACAAAAGGTAATCAGGTAACCACCACAGCAACCGGGAGGCTCAGATAAACAGAATGTTTCTTACAAGATGGCACCCCCGTCCCAACAAATACCATGGATATTTGTACCACATTTCACTGCAATCCATTTAATAGTTGCTGAGATATTTCCATCTCGACCCAAGAGGTGGACCGATTAACAATGCCATTGCTAGCATGGCTAAAATAAGCATAATTTTGTGCAATATAAATAAACAAGTTTTTCTTTCTTATCCCTTGAATAATTTGGTGACCCCTCAGATTTTTCCTGAGACCATTCGAGGGGTTTAGCAACCACTGGCATAAAAGTAAAAGTCCGAAGCCTGTGCAAAATACAGCTAATTTTTCCTGTTTGCTAGTTAAAAAACCCTGTTGTATTTGCAGACAATGATTTCAAGGCAGACTGATCAAGAAATGTGGAAATGGGCCTTTCTCACAACAGATATTTTGACATGTCAAAATGCCCTCTGTGAGAGAGCAGCAATAGCAGACATTTTTACTTGTCAAAACAGACAAACCACAGGTGGAGCTAACTTACACAACATTAATAACAGCTGCGTGCCATTTAGGTTTTCCATTTCTAAGCTCTGTTGTGCATGCAGGCTCATTGGCATGGCTTACGGAGACACTTCAACAGAATGCAGCTGTCATTTATTTAACTATATCTGTGCTGTCTGCTGTGAGAAAGGTCTGCTGCAGGGAGAGGTCCAGACACCATTAAAACCACAGGCTGTTGATGTGTCCAGATATGTTGCTGTTTACTTAATTAATAATCTTAACTACAATATCATACTAACCGAAGAAGCTTTCATTAGAAAATTACATTTTTCTATGTTTTTAAGATTTATTTTAGTATGAAATATTGTAACGTGAAAAACAAAAAGCAGTTTGTTGAGATAAAGATAGTTGTTATACTGGAGTGACAGTGAGTAAGAATGTGCACTGTCAAAACCATTACTGTGTGGGTTTTGTATCAAAATCTACTTTGAATAATTAGGTAGCATTAACACAATTCACATTTGAACGAGTTATGAATTCATTTCAATTACATTGAAAAACAGTGACATGAACATCTTTGTCTGTGGAAATACGAGTTTTAAACAGACACATCATAGGAATACCTTTGAAGATATGCAAATTGTTGTTGGATAACAGGTGAAAAAACAACTAATAAGTATTTCTATTGCATTTCCATCTACCTATTTGTAAAGTTAGAGGAAAAGTTTAAATGTAAAAAAACTTTCCTTGGAGGAGGTGGACAAAGTTGATGTATTGACAGAAAATATCATGTGACAATGAAAATGCACAGCGATTAAATCATGGCGTAGGCTACATAAAGACTTCTTTGTCTCTCTAGCTTCCGCTGCACTGAAGAGATGAAAAATGGCGACAGGTGAAAGCATCTGAGGGCAGATCTGTGTGGAGTGATGACGAGGCTGTAACCTTCCTCAGATTAAAACATGAAACAAACATAAATGTTGTGTTTCCATCATTGTTTTTCCATCCTGCACACCATTTGAGGTTTGACCAGAGCTAATTCTTGTTGGGCCCTCTTCTTCTGCAAAGGTTTAATTGCACCTGAGTGGAGATTTAGCGCCATGAGCTGTTCATCTCAATGAACCAACTCTTGCATAATAGTAGATGGAAACCAGCATTAAATCACATTTACTTTTGAAATTTTTCTAGGAATTTGGTTAATATGTGCTAATGTGGATGGAAACCTGAGCACAGATGGTCACAAATTAGGCTAAACTGACCCCAACAAAGAAAGTGTACTGCCAGCAAAACAGGTTCAGACTTGTTCTGTTGGTGCAACTAGGCAGGCCATCATAGGAACATTTATTTATTACAAAGTTTTATAAAACACAGTTTTAATACAAGAAATAATGAGTTAGCTGTGAGTTGGGTAGTTCAAACAGCACCAGAGAAGAGCTTTTTTTGAGGATGCATTTTTGAGCTGACAATCAAGCATGTTTTACTGTGATATTCTGCTCTATGTGCACACTGTATCACCACTGTAAATGTTGCACAGCCTCTCTCTCTTACACACACACAGCTAACCCATCCTAGTGGAATGCCATCAGCCAGTATATTTTGAGTTATTATCACATGGCTTATCTTCATGAGTTGTCTCCACGCATGACTTGTGAAAGGAGTAAGTATCCATCTGATAAAAGCTGTATGATTTGCAGTGATTGAATGAACATAATGGCTGGCCTCTGCCCATTCAGTCTCCATGAGGATGACAGTGAGGACACTAAGTCATCCCCGCCAGGCTGGATTCACTTTGATGTCTCTGTGTTATTGTCCAGGTCAAGGTTATAAAAAGGATGCCGGTCAAAAATTATGATGCATGCAGTGTTCTCATCCCACGAAGGTGGGTGTTACAGTACTAATATGGAAGTATGGATCACAGCACATGCTGCTCTCTCCATCATTTGGTGCTTGAAATAAGAATTGTCGTTATTCTAGGTTAAATAACCCGATAGATCATCTCATAGAGCTCTCATTGGTCCATTGAAAATTAGATGTACTAAATATTCTGAATGTATATCTGTTGTCACTAAAACCCATAAATTAACTGTGTTTTTTCCTCTCAAGGTCAATTTCTATGTAACCCACATTTCACATTCAAGTCTCCATCCTCCATCCCGTGACACCCACCCACACCTGGAGACCCACACATGCACACACAGACACACAGCAGAGCGGGCATACGTCACTGGTGTTTTTCCTTTTTAGGCTTCTTAAAGTGGATTGTGGCTGTCAGTAGCACTCAGGGAAGCTTCATTAGTCGTCAGAAGGAGGCAAGGCTGTGACTCATGCCTGAGTGAAGAGACCAATGGGCAGCCGGAGCCTGAGATATAAATAACGAATAAAAAATATTCTTGAGGGAGAAAGGGTCACTTGCGCGCCGCTGGATGGGATTGTATTAGTTCGCTCTGTTGATATTCAGCCATCGCCGCCACTGGACTGTTCCTTGTCGCGCCTTTGAGTGGCAATTGTAACATCTAGATATAGTTTGGACACGACAACCTGTGCGCCCGTGAGCCGGTAAGACGCCTTTCATTTCAGCGGCGCCCTTGATAGGCTGTATTGATAGGTTTCATATTCCTTCATAGACATATTCACAGATCATAACGTCGGGTTATTTTGGAGAATATTAAATTAGGCTACTATTAAAAATATGCTGTAATTCGCTGTACCGTTTGAAAGGTATCAGTCTCAGATTAGTGACAGAAGGAATTCATTAGTAGTTCAGTCTGTCTCTCATGCCATGATGACACTGAGTGATGATGGTGTGGGATATGCTTGTTCAAAGCGCAACTTAATTGAAATGTCGATTGCTAAGTCAATAGGTGAATTACGTAGGCTATTTATGTGGACATAATAGTTGCATCTTTAATAAATCAGTCTGTGTAGATTAGGTGTTATTTCACCAATAATAACCATTTCTTTTCTGATATGCCTCCTTACACGGCGGCCTGAATTAATCCTTTTTTTTTTTTTAATCTTCTTGTTTTTAGTCCTTAGAAATATCAGCATGTTGTGAGTGCAGTGATGATCACAGACATAAAGCTCATAGATTTTAATGGTCTGATGCCTCTCTGCCCAAGACATCTAATGATCATTTTCCTCCAACGAGCCATTATCTGTTTCCTATTGGTCCAGGTCCCTGATAACAACTTTTTGAATTTTATCTTTAATATTGGCTCCGTATTCTGGACATTGGACTGGACCTGGGAATATATAATGTCGTATTGCTTATGTGTCGTGCGAAATTCTCTCCAAATTTCCAAATTGCGCGGCTTTGTTCACACCACTTTCTGATCAAACCTTGGCCTACCCATTAAATCAATTTTAGTTATTCAATATATACATTTATGTGTGCATGTATGTATCAGGCCTGAATTGGATAAGCAGACCTGGTCTCTCCTAACCGTGGACCGTTTGGTTTGCAGTTGAATTATTCTGGAGATCAGTTAACAGAGGACTGATGGCCACGTCTGAACCGAGAACCACCGACGGCGACCAGGACCCCAACTCCGGCAATTTAAGACCTCCATCCACAAGTACGTCCTCACACATCTCTCTCTGTTAACAGCACCGTGATCCAGTATCGATCGCCGAGGGTAAATTTTAGTTAAGGCTGTCCCTCTCCGGAGCGTTCAGGCTGTGCTTACAGAATCAGCCCCCTGGATCTGACGCGACTCGGTGCCTTGCTCAAAGACACTTTTGCAGTGTGGTTCATTGCCAACACGAAGGTTTAAAAACACTTCATCCCACGCACACCTCTCTCTCTCTCTCTCTCTCTCCCTCTGGATCTGTCTGCCCCTCTGTCTCTCTCTCCCCTCCTTCTCTGTCTGATAAAAGCGAGTCTCGCCCGGGTCATTTGCTGTGTGGGCTCCGTCGTTAATCACTCGGTTAAAAACAGAGCCATCACAGCTGCCTGTCGCTGCCTGGCGGACCAGCGGTGGACCTGGCGCTGAAATAATTTGCCATTAAGGCATTGGTATTTATAATGATCGAAAAGCATTTAGTGATTACATTTCTGAATGAATAGGCCTATGCATTTACTGATCGAAAATATATTCCTGATTTGAATTTGGACCCCTGTTTTATTGCAACAACGTCTTCATTCTCTTGGTTTCAATAGTATATTTTATGATTTCGACAAATTTCGCAAAAAATATGATGATTTATTTCTGTCATAATTCATCTAATCTCGTTGGATGCATTAGGGCCTCAAGGCTGGAGTCTGCATAGATTAGTTGCTCTTGAAATGTTGAAATGTTGCTGGTAATTTTAAGAAGTGGCTGGACCTATTTAGGGATACATTAACCTATGGGTTAATTCATCATTTAAGCCTTTGTTGCATGCACAAAATCGACCCCATTATAGTACACTTGAGCGGCCATGTGCAGTGCAACGCGGGGAAATAATTACAGGTTTTTGTCTTCAGTCCAATGTAAGAGGAAATAAGATTCAGTTCCTAGGGGCCAGTGCAGATTTCACGTTAGTATTTTCTCTTTCTATTGAATAACATATTTTTGAAAATTGTATTTGTGGCCCTTGGGTGTCAGTAAACATTTCTATAAAAATCTCAGACATATTTCAAATGTGGGTTTGTACCGAGAAAAGCCCATTAAAAGAAGATGTTTGTTTTGTCTGACTTGCTGGTATACTGCTGCTGGATGTTGCCATTATCTCTCTGCCACGCTCCATCTCACGCCTGGCGGCTTGCAATGTAGCCTATGTGTGTAAGTGTGTGTGTGTGTGTGTGTGTGTATGCGCGCGCGTGTCTGCCTGGTTATATGCCTTGGCCTCAGTACCTCGAGCTGTTCTCTAGTTTCTCTCAGAATGAAATTGCTTCAGTAAATTTAAATACTTGTTTTTGTTTTGAAAGTTTTCCATCAGGTGTATCCGCCGCCTCGCTGTGGCTCTGCTGCCGTGCGCTCTCCATTTTATTCCCTCTGGCTTCTGCTCCATCTCTGCTCACGCATGTCCACGCTCCGGTCTGTGGGTGTGTGTGTGTGTGTGTGTGTGTGTGTGTGTGTGCATGATGTGTGTATGTGTTTGACGCACTATACTATGCGTTTCTGCATCACGCCGGCTATAGTCTTCCCGGCCACAGACATTACCAGCTCGCTCCAGTCACATACTGTGTTTCACTCAATTAATTTCTTCCGTCCTCCGTGAACTCATTTCACGGGCGTTAATTCCAGTCCGCCCCTTGGCTGGGTGTGTGAGCCGGCGTGGATCTGCCGTGTGGACCACTGTCGGTGCCTATTGATTGAACTTAAATCGGAAATCGGATCATAAAGGGACCCATCCCCTTTAAGATCAGTGGGCGCTGTGGTAAATAAAAAGTATAAAATACATTCTCACTAAACTAAGGCCTCATTGAGCCACACTAATCAAATACAAATGACTCAGTGCTTTAAAGAGCCCACAATAAAATACCAAAAAGAACCTGAGTGTTCAGAATCACACACCTGGCCAAGAGCCGTCCGCATCCCGCTTCCACTGTGCTCACTGTGCTCCACCAGCTTTATATCCATCACCCGCTCATCCACGTTGTCTCGGCGGCCTGCCTCTTCAGAAACTCAAACGTTCATTCTGTTTTAGCCTACGAATATGCGTGGATGCACGGATGCACACGGAAGCTGGGGATGAAGATTTGTGGTAAGTTTCCAGGGCACATAAAATGCTCCACTTCTTTCAACATGCAATATTTTTATAGTCACATTTTTGACATATTAGAAAATATGCCATTTGGGAAGGACGTATTTAGGGATGTATGTTAACATGTCTCCATAATAGGCCTCTTGTGATATGCATTTCTTGCCTCTATTTCTTTAACATTTTAACCATAGGGTGGCTTTTATTCTCTCTTATTTTTCTAATAAATAAAACCGAGGCCTGAAATAGGCCATTATAAAGGCTGTTAGAGCAGGGCCATCCACGACTGTCACTATGTGTTTCCATCTTCTAAAGGTCAGTGGACATTAGCCTGTAGGTCTGATGATGAGAGCCCAGGATCACCACTCGTGACCGCCCATGAAACCCCCATGTCTTTCCCATTTCACCACCAAGAGAAACATCCACGAGACAGGCCTGTGAATATATGCTATATAGCCCAGAATGCTCCTTATAATAACATGCAAATAAATTAGTATTTTCATTTCCCATTCAAATATTTCTTTAAAACAAAAAATCCAAAAAGTTTTTTTCTACATCTGTTCTTTGATCTGCTTTCAATCTCACACAGTCTATATTACAGTGGAAAATAGCGGGTGTGACGTTGCAGGGAAGGCGAGTTTATTTCTCCATCCTTTAAAGGAATTTGTTTCTTTCAGTGAATCAAAAATTAAAACGTATGGATGATGTGTTTTTCTTGCAGCTATGCAAAGGTATATGAATGTCATAGATATGGTCCATTGAAACCGAATATTATTGGCCTGTTTGTTATGGCAGAAATGAGTTAAGACCAAAAAGATCGAATACGTTTGAAGTTGCCATTTCTGAGAATGAGAAATTGACCACTGGATTTTGATTGGTCTAAATTACATTTTAATGGGCTGGAATGGAAATTGAGTGGGGATAGTTCTAAATGGAGGCTATGGTAGTATAGATGGTCTCGCACATTGATTTTGAATATGTCATTGGGTATTTAATGAGCAATGCATTATAGACTTTCCATTGAAAAATATGAGACAATATTTCCATGTGTTTTGCGCACAATTAGGCCCACACTTTACCACACTTTCCTACAGATAAAGAGGGCCTATAGCCTGCAGAAATCCGATCAATCATGGAGTTCAAAACATAGGCCATATGCCTTGCAGGGGCAGACTGGTTTAGGGCTCTGTGCAACCTTCCTGCATTAACCCCAGGATGCGTAGTTATTGGCTGAGTCATCGCCACGGGCTGCCCACTGAGCCGATCAGTCTGTGGACTGGGGACATCCTGACTGGGGTGTGGTGGTGATGTCACAGGGTGGGGAGGGCACCCACACGCGCACGCGCTCTCTCACACACACACACACACACACACACAGATTTAAACTGGTGGTCCCTCTTCCTTACCTACATGGCCTAGGCCTATATAAGTTTGGCCTCCGCATTTCCGATTAAAGAATTAAGCATTAGGAGCTGACTGACACAGATAGGCCCTAGTTATCAAACGCTGCCACTTTCATATTCATATATTCATATTCATATTTGACTAAATAACGCCGGAATTTTGAGATTAATTTCTCTTTCTTGTATTTTTTTGGCCCATAATTTAGTTTTTTTGTGGAATGGAGATGTTTGGTGATAACTCCTGCCCTCCACCGTGTAACACCCTAGGGTTCCTGCAGAAGAACAACAGTCTCGACGAGAAGGGGAGGCTCGCGGGCCAGAAGAACCTACTATCGTGCGACAACAGTGACAGGGACGCGCGCTACCGCCTCACCGAGACCGACTTCTCCAACCTGTTCGCCAGAGGTGAGAACTACAATATTCCAGCCAGACACATCAACGTAAAAGATTGTTCATTTCTGGAACAATTTACGAGCGCACGCTCATTAATTCAAATTAAATGACCGTTGGCGCTTTTGTGCAAATCTTCAGTTTTCTTATCTGTTGAATAAGCCTATGCATTTTCTTATGTTATCTCTTAGAAGCCACAATGTTGTTGGCCTCAAAAATCGACTTTGGACAACGACCAAAGTTAGAGGCATAACCTAATAATATATTTGGACAATATAGAAAACGAACCTAAGGTTGCTATTTCCTGTTAAGAACGATGCTTCTCAGTTTAAAGCCAGGAAGCCAAAATGTATGGCAATAAATGGAGGAGTTACTAATGACAGTAGGCTAGCCTATTATTACCCTATATTAGCCTACTAAACGTTACTTTATTCGACCAGAATAATTCATTATTAGACATACGTCACAAACAGAAACATTTTAAGAAATACAAAGTCAGATTTGGACTTTCTAAAGACTAAGTTACAGCCAGAGCATCGGCAAAAGACCCAGGCTAAGTTTCCACTGTCACTCCTCACCTCTTAGACCTGCTGCCAGCCAAAAATGGAGAGGAGCCTACCATACAGTTTTTGTTGGAGATGGTCGACATCCTCACCAACTACGTCAAGAAGACTTTCGACCGCTCCACCAAGGTGCTGGACTTCCACCACCCTCACCAGCTCCTTGAGGGCATGGAGGGCTTCAACCTGGAGCTGTCCGACCAGCCTGAATCCCTGGAGCAGATCCTGGTGGACTGCAGGGACACGCTGAAATATGGCGTCCGGACAGGTAGGACACCTTCAAGGTTAAACTATAGCTGTATCTAAGGTAAAAGGGGGGTCACCTAGTATGAGTTGGGAATATGATTTCAAAGCTTGGGGATTTTGAATAATTCATATGGTGGTGTTTGTGATTTAGCAAAAAGACACTGGAAAATGTGAAAAGGCCCTGCAGACACACATATCGTCATTTACAATATTATACAAAACATTCTATGAGAGCTCAAGTTAATAAAAGTATCTTTGATGGTATCTCAGATGATATTCCTATAATATGATGATATATATTCTCAGAAACATGCGTCCATTTAATAACTTTCATGTAAGTTAATACTGACTATTGTACTGAATTCAACACAAACCATTAGAGAAGAAGTTGCTGGCCAGACAGTATACAGCCTGTTATGATGACTGCCTTCTTTATTGTCCCCCTGGTAATTCAGTTGACATCCCCCTTTTCTTTCCCCTCGAGTTATTAAACCAAGTGTCGCCTGAGGGCATCCTAACACGGGCTGTTTCAAGCTGTTAAAAACGACCACCCTCAAACTGTCCCTCGGGTTTTATATATCACACAGGGTGTACTGTGTCCATGCCTCAGCACCACTTTTCTTTTCAGTGGCATGGTGCTTTTTACTGCCTCTCAGAACATGTTTGAGGCTGAATTGTGTGATGTGCGACTGGAGGAGCTGTCCGCGGTGCTGGAATGTAAATCTGATCTTTCTTTCCTCTCGCTGTTAAGCAGCACAGTCAGCTTATTTAACATACACACAAAATTATATTTATTTTCCATATATTTGATATTTTTATTCATAAGTAACTTAATATGACAGACATATTTATTATGTGAGCCACGCAGCACTGCCTTCACAAGGTGCTTGTATCCATGACTGCATTTAGGCTCCCGGCCTGTTGACGGGGACTGTGTGTTCAAGCACCTTAGAGTCTAAATGGCTGTCACATAGCCTTGTTACCAATGTAATTATGGTACAATGAACAGTGCAATGTCAGATCCCTTAGGTTTCATGGCTGACCAGGAGAATATAAAATGAAATCCATAGTCATTATATACCTTCATAAAGGTTTTTTATGTACCCAGGACAAGGCAAACATATCAGTGGCTGTCTTTCTTATTGCTTTCTCTTTAAATAAAACATGATTCCCTCATAATTAAAGCCATGTTAATAGGAATGTCATTATGTATATATTTTTATGTTCAGGTCACCCGCGATTCTTCAACCAGTTGTCTTCTGGCCTGGACATCATCGGCTTGGCTGGAGAGTGGCTCACCTCCACTGCTAACACCAACATGTGAGTCATACAGTATGTGCCCAAACACAATTCTTATCCATACAGGGGAAAGACCTCTAAATGTTAGGACAGGACAACAGAGATTTCTTGTTTGTAGGCTACTGGTAATAACCCAGAGTCATTATCATATAAAGTCATGGTGAAGGTGCTCATGGTGTTCCCCTCAGCTCACACCACAATTGGTCACGGTTATATAAAGTGTTTGGTTTGTCCTGTTGAGATTGTGTATTGACAGATGGCAGGTTGCCACTGTGCTGTACTGTATATCCGAGGCAGCCTAGCCCCAGGGGTGGTTAGATTGTATATTGATCTCAGGTCACAGTTACATGGTGGCCCAGTCTGAAAGAGGGCACGAACCACATCAACATTGCACACTCTGAACACAGCTACACACACACAAACTCTCTCACACACACAGGCTGTAAATAAGCTGTAACCTTGTGTTATGATCACTGGAAAAGAAGAAGGAACATTGTCGTAATACTGCTGTACAATATCAGAATATTCAATAACAGACACACACTCATTGTTGCACACAAAGCAATGCACATCTTGCCAGCTGAATATTTACAGCTCTTTTAATTTATTCTCAGTGGAGAAATGAATAAATCTGTCAGTTGATTTCCTCACTGGAATAAACATGAACTCCTCAAAAATGAGACAATCTACAAAATATTTAAAATATTTGATGCTTATTCATAGCAATATTTACAGTATTAAGACTGCCTTAAAGGGATGCCCAGAGAAGAAAATGTGAAAATGTACAGCACTCTTATAGAGGGCTGCAACTAATGATTATTTTCATTTGATCTAATGATCATTTAATCTGCCGGTTAATGTCTCAGTTCAAGCTGGGCATTTCATTTCAGAAGCATCTTTTTGTTATATTTGTTGGAATTCTCTTTATATCCAACAATGAATACATTAAATGCTCTAACACACAAAAAAAATCCAGTATCTGTGTCATAAAGGATAATTTCTGTATTTTTATACCTTGGCCCTATTTTTACATATTTTGGGGTTTAAAAATGCAAGTAGGTACAAAAACTTTTGAAATACGTGCAGTAGGTGGCTTCAGTCGTCAGCCGCGAAATGGCTACAGTGGCTGCAACATATTGTAGCGGAGAGGAGATGTGTAGCATAGAGGAACTGTTAGCAAGACTTTCTTTCCTAAAGTTACTCCAACACAACAAACTCCTCTCTCTAACTCAAGTACCTTGAGTGATACTTCTTCTGTTTCTGTTTCTGGTTTCTGCGGGGCGACTGTTTCGGCTGCCTAGCTGTCTCTTACTGATTTCTCCAAGATGCCTACCACAGCTTAAATTGATTCGTCATTTGGTCTCTAAAATGTCAAAGACACAAACAAAATGTCTACAGTACACTTTCCCAAAAGCCTACGATGACATGATTAAATGTCCTGTTTTGTCTGACCAACAGTCCAAAACCTAAAAATATTCGATTTGCTATTACGTAAAATGAAGAAAAGCAGCAAATTCTCAGAATTTAAAAGCTGGAGTCAGAGAGTGTTTGGCAATTTTGCTTGAAAAAAAATCAACAATTAGTCGATCGACCGACTTATTGTTTCAGGTCTACCCTTATGTATGAAAGAGAAAAATCAACAAAAACTACATATGCCCTGACAATTACTGAGCTCCAGACAGAAGGCAAGAAAACTGACAGAATTCTAACAGCATTTAAAAAGAGATTTTAAAGCAGAATCAGTTCCTTAAATATCAATAAATTAGTACAACAAATATCTAAAACTTGGTGATACAATGTTGAGACACTTGGAGTTCATGGTACAAAGTGAGATATACTAGCTACAAAGACAGCATGACCTTCACAGTGCAAAAACACCAACCAAGATATAAGTGGTGGACTGAGGACAGTATACACCACTCACATACACAAATTGAGCATTCAATATTCTCTTAATATTGTGGCCTCTACATTTTCCCCTAGACTGGCTGCTAAAGAAAAGATCAATGTAACCAAAAGGAAAGGAACATTGAGACACTTAGTTTATCCAATTTCTCAAAACATTAGCTTAGGAAACTACCCCCTTTCCCCCTCTTAGGAAAAACTTTCCCATCTCATCTCCCGGTTGGAAGAATGCCCAAAGAGACAGGGCCATTGAATTCACACACTCGCGCACTCTTTCATAATGACACACACACACACCAGCTCTGGCTGTCCCAGATACAGCAGCTAGGGTTTCCAGTCCATTGACTGCAGGCTCATTGTGAGCTGGTCTTAGCAGATAGGCCAGCTGGGCCCCACACTGACACACAATGTCCTCCGGCTGCACAGAAAACCCAGTCACACTGTGGCAACTGGCTGCTGCAGCTCCCTGCGGAGTGCTCATTCCGCCTCTATTGTCCCTGTGGATACCGACTGACTCAGTGCTCCTTTGAGGGTTTGAGAGAGCAGAGTGTGTTTGGGGGTCACAGGGTTAGTCACATAGAGACACGCACACACACATTCAAACACAGACTCACACACATTGAGTGCCCTTGATGATGATAATAAGGGCATTTAGGGGCTGTCCCTGGAGAAAGGCAGGTGACTGAGGGGTAATTTTCACCCTGAAAAGACCAATGATTGGCTCTGATTGTGATAATGATCACCATTATTGTCATTGCAGCGTGAAATGACTCACAGAGAAAAAAGGGACTTTGAAAAAGGTGCACTGGTTTTGTCCCTTTTCTGCTACGGTTGAGATTCATTTGAAGAAGAAATGAAAGTGATACATCCAAGATATTAGGCATTTTTGTGTTCCTTATATGAACTATAATTCCAGTCTATCAAAGAACACCATATTCCTGAAATTAGATCTCCGAGAGGCTTCTTTCTGATTTTATCCTTTGTTTTCGCCATTCATGGTCAAAACCCAGCTGTCACAATCTGATCTGGTGTATTGACCAGAAACTAATGTTCCAATCAAATCCATCCCGTGGGCGAGCCCCTCAGCAGGGATGTTTACACACACAAATGTCTTTCTCTTCTCTATTTCTTCATCCTTTTTTAATTCATTTTCTATCCATCCTCAACCACAGCTTTTCTCGTCTCCTATTTTCAGCCACTGCCTTTCGCCTTGTTGTCCTATTTCTTTTCTGTATGCTTTCCTTGCTCTGCCTCCATATCAACCCCTCCTCTTCCTTTGTTGTCCTCTGTCACAGTTTCATTCAGTGCATTGTTTCCCAACAGCTCTCGTCTCCCCTCAGCCTTTATTTCTCTTCCTCTGTACCCAAGCTTCCAAAATGTTTCAGTCCTCGTGTAGAGACGTACTTGTGAAGACAAAAGAGACGAGATAATGTTATTGTCGTTTTAGATGGTACTGGTGTTGATGGGAGTGGAGGAGTGTTGTATAACTGGCCTCATTAAAAGTAAAGGTAAACAGGGATCAGTCCTAAGGGTGTGTGTGGGAGGCGGTGAGATGCCCGTCAGTTAGTGAAGAGAGCAAAAGCTCAGGCCTCACTGTGGGAGTTGGTTTTCTGTGACACATGTAATCTACTTTAGCTTCTCCAGGAGTTTTGCTCTTTTGTTGTTCAATGAGCTACCAGCCACACAGACACATATCTATCGTTTTTATTCCCTCTCATCTCCCTGTAAATATTGTTTTTGTCTTTTAATCTTCTCTCTCTCTTTTTCTTTCTTTTAATGAAATAATGACAATTAAAAATTACGGTGTCTTCCTCTATATCTGAATTTTGGGGTCCACAGAGGCTGTTATCTCTTTAAAACACACACACTCTCTCTGCATGCCTGCCTTTCTTTCTCATGCACACATGTGCTAAAAATACACGTTCATGTCCTCTCAGCCATCAAATCAGCCCCATTCAGACTCACTAAGATTGGCAGGATTGACAGATAGCCATCAGAGCTTTGTGGGCTTTAATGAAACTACTGAGTGATTTTAGAAAGAATTTGAATATGAATGTTTGCTGCCCGAATCCTATCAGACACTTTTTAATTAGCTCTATCAGCACAACCCCAGTTTGTGCTATGTGGATGGAATTATAGTGAAGCTAATGAAAAACCAATGCTTGTGTGTGTTGGTGTGTCTGTATTTGGGCTTTCTAATCTGCAAGTGTCTGCGTGCATAAGAATCCTCTTTTATTCCTCTTGCTCACAGAGTAGTTGTTAATGACTCAGCCGTTACGGTTATGTTGAATGACGTGATATATTCATACATTCTGTGATATGATTGACAGGTTCACCTATGAGATTGCTCCAGTGTTTGTGTTGATGGAGCAGCTGACTCTGAAGAAAATGAGAGAGATGATTGGTTGGCCCAATGGAGAGGGAGACGGAATTTTTTCACCGGGTTAGTCTTTAAATAACAGTTTCCATATACACGATGAGGGTGTGTTATTTTGTGTTGGATGGTAAAACTATAAGCAGAAAGTCTAATGAGTTGCTATTTTAATTTCTGTAATAATATTGTTGTTACCAGCATGCACTGCAGTTGGTGTGTGAATGCGGGTTTGCAAGGTGTTAATGTGTCTGTCTCTCCTCAACAGGGGGCGCTATTTCCAACATGTACAGCGTGATGATCGCACGTTACAAGTACTTCCCCGAGGTCAAGACCAAGGGCATGTCTGCTGCTCCACGTCTTGTCCTCTTCACATCTGAACACGTATGTGACCATGAACACACACACATACACACACTGTCCATTTTAGGTATTCTAATAAAGTAGGCGCTATGCTTCATCGGCTGTAGATTAAGGCCATTGAAGAAGTCCGGTAATAATCAGTAGGTCTATTTGAATCAAGGCAATGGCTAGTTTAATGGATTCCTTTTGATTTCATCGCATCTGCTTTTGTCTGTAAAGAATTGCACAGTTGAGAACATGACAGAAAACAAGCCAAAGCTCAATTAGCAAAAATCACAAAATCTTCACTCTCCTGGAAACTTAGCTATTATTTCAATGATAGATGAATTATATGCCTAATGTCCCTACAGAGCCACTACTCCATAAAGAAGGCTGGAGCTGCTCTTGGCTTTGGTACTGAGAATGTGATCCTGCTGAGCACAGATGAGAGGTGGGGAATTCATCTTAGAAATGTAAAGCCACAACAGTAAAAGCGTAAAATACTGTTTGTGAACAATGTCATGAAGAGAGGAGATGATTCTTGTATGACATGTATTTGATGCTAATATGATGCTCTTTCAGGGGGAGAGTCATTCCTGCAGATCTGGAGGCCAAGATTATTGATGCTAAACAGAAGGTCAGTGTCATTGCTCCTTTACCTTTCATTTAATTTATTTATTTGTTCTTGCTCTTTTACTTGATCTTGTGTGTCGATTCTGCAGGGTTATGTGCCATTGTTTGTGAATGCCACGGCTGGGTCGACTGTCTACGGTGCATTTGATCCCATCAATGAGATTGCTGACATCTGCGAGAAGTACAACTTGTGGCTCCATGTTGATGTGAGTATCTGACATCGGAGTAGATGCTGCACTATTTTGATATTGGTAGAAAGAGTACTATGTCCTTGCTTGCGTACCCCTCAGTAAAAGTGCTGTCTCCTCAGGGAGCGTGGGGTGGTGGACTACTGATGTCCAGGAAGCATCGCCATAAGCTTAATGGAGTTGAGAGGTAGGTACATGTGAAATGATGGGTTGCTCTGTATTGCTATTTAAAGCAAATCTTCATTAAGACTACTTTAGTAAATTTATACATATATTAAACTTGGCAGGGCCAACTCTGTCACATGGAACCCTCACAAGATGATGGGTGTGCCTCTGCAGTGCTCTGCAATCCTGGTCAGAGAGAAGGTACAGTAAACACACCTCAACATTTCAGGAAGATTTTAAACCCTTTTAAACACTGTATTTTGAAGGTTTTATTTAAATAATGTGCATTGTTCCTGGATTATTGTTATGACAGGCCGTTCTTTTTAAGAATGAGCACAATACCCGCTATACATTACAAGTTCATATGAATGTAACCTTTCATAGCAGTAGTTCCACATAGTCCTAGCCTGCTATGGGCATTACAGTTGTGGAAAAAAGGGTCAACAGTGTATGTACTCTGTGTGCGTCTGTAGGGAATCCTGGCAGGCTGCAATTCCATGTGTGCTGGCTACCTGTTCCAACCAGACAAACAGTACGACGTCACCTACGACACAGGGGACAAAGCAATCCAGTGTGGCCGACACGTCGACATCTTTAAGTTCTGGCTCATGTGGAAGGCCAAGGTGAGATGAAGGAAGAAAGACGCACACAGAAATACCTGATAACTTGTAAATTATTCTTTTACCAACATACACAAATGTCTTCAAGCCAATAGGAATTGTGTTATTATAGCAGATGCTATAGCTGTATACTCTGCTTTTTGTTGTTAAATGTTTATTGACTGACTGACTTTCTTTCCCTGCAGGGTACCATAGGGTTTGAGCAGCACATTGACAAGTGTTTGGAACTGTCTCAGTACCTGTACAACAAGATCAAGAACAGGGAGGGATATGAGATGGTGTTTGATGGAGTGGTGAGCGTCTCTTTTTGTTCTATCAATGTTATTTTCAATCACTGGGGAAAATTCAATATTCAATATATTAATAACATATACTGACATGACAGGAACCATTTTGGGGGTTTAACCAAGAAATAAATATGTTAATTGCTGTCTTACTCTCTTTCCTCTAACTCCATGTTTCTTCATTTTTGAGTGGTGTAAAGAAGTGTGTGCGTATTAACTGTGTTTATTCCTGTCGACAGCCCCAGCACACCAATGTTTGCTTCTGGTATATTCCACCCAGCATGAGAGGCATGCCTGATGGTGATGAGCGGCGAGAAAAACTCCACAGGGTAAGACACCTGTCAATGACTATGTTATTTTTTACTTTGTCAACCTGTGCATCACATGTGGCCTGTGCACAGATAGAAATGAGGTTTAATCTTTAAAAGGTGCAATTACTGTATCCTCCATTGTCTCTGTTAAATAGACATTAAAAGAAACTGTAGAAAAAGAATCACGTCCAGATATTTCATCAGCTTCAGCTTTCATGTTTACCCTTTCTTTTTATTCATACAACCAAAGAGCAATATTTTCATGTACACTTTTTATTTCAGTAATGCAGTTGTACGTTGTAATTTTTTGACTCCACCAGGTGGCGCCAAAGATCAAGGCCATGATGATGGAGTCAGGGACAACCATGGTGGGCTACCAGCCTCAAGGGAATAAAGTCAACTTCTTCCGTATGGTCGTCTCCAACCCTGCGGTCACCCAGTCTGACATCGACTTCCTCATTGATGAGATTGAGAGGATGGCTCAAGACCTGTAGACCTCTCAGCCATCACTGCCTCAGTGTATTTCCAAGACAAATGCTACGAGGTGAAACATTCACAGTGCTGCAGACTGAATAGTGATAGGACGTGTTTTAGGTTCTTTCTATCCGGTCTATCTTAGCCTGAAGCATTTTGACTGTTTCTCTAACGGAAGAGAAACTCATAATGAGAGACTTTCTTACTTGCTCGTCCCACATAGTTCCTCCTCTAGACAAAATATGTAAGTACTAAGTATCTGAAGGCTCCAGGTACAACAAACATCTGCTAAACTAATGTATGTGTGTGCTGTGGAATCTTGTAATGTGTGTGCGTGTAAGCTAGTTTCTCATCCAATGTAGTTTGTCTTTTAATGTCTGTGTGCGTGTGTGTGTGTGTGTGTGTGTGCGCGCGTGTGTCTGTGTGTGGTCAACCACAGAAAGGGAGAAAAGCACAGATCAAAATATAACAAACTATCATAACATTATTTTGCTGTATCATACATTTGCTACACAAAATTGAATCATTGGTGCTTTCAGCTGTACATTATATTTAATCTCAGTGCACTGACCTATTTGTCCTAAACCGATGTCCAAGCCCTTGCAGCAGTGTGTGTGCAGGTGTGCATGTGGCACAATGAGTGTATCCTGTCATGTATTTTAGGCTAGCACTATGTTAAAAATAAGCTTATTATTACCTTATGTGCACACCGTAGGTACCAAGTGTGTTAAGCTGAGGGGTGTTAGATAACCCTTAGCAACTGATCTACAGTCTGCCATATTTTTGCTCGTAGAGGTTTAAGATTAAGATTTAAAATGTCTACAGCTATGTCAAGTCTGTGACAACTTTAAACATGTAAAACGCTGGCTCGTTGTTTGTTTCATGCGATACCCATATGTGTTTATAATATTGTTAAAATATGAATATTTAATTAAATAAGAAAAAAATATTTATTTCATTTCCACTGTTTGCAGATTCAGGTATTTTATTGTAAATGTATCTTTATGTGTATTACACGGTAATACATTTGTAAGAAGTTTATTTATAGTGATTTGTCAGCCAAAGAAAGAGAATCGGGAACAGAGCAATCCATTGTCCTGCTTATTCAACTTCTTATAGATTGTAGGTGTTTGTAAAATGTTACCTATTGACCCTGGACTGCGATGCAATTTCTATGGTGTTTCTTTCCGTGATTGTGAGTCTTTTTGACTGAATGTTTTGAGATGACTGACTGGCCTTCTGATGAGATTAAGAATGATGTCTATATAATCCTCTGGCTGTCGCGCCAGTCTTTTATTTGAGAGAAGCACAAGTATGTGAGAATGTACTCTCCTCTAGAGAATGAGAAGGAAGGGTTGTTGTATCTGTCTTAATCCTAATGCATTTACTGTAATATAATATATTAATTGTAATACATATTACCTGTATTCTCAGTGTTATGGGAGCTCAATGGAATATCTTGTTAAAAGAGTTCCTGTTTGTGTCTTTGCACAATGTTCACCTTTCTTTCTTCCATTGTAAATGGATGTGTACTATGGCAGTATTATATAAGACTTACGTTAACAAAGTATTTTATGGTATCTAGGGACCATACGTGAATGGCACAATTGCATAAATCGTATTTAAGGTTATCTGTTGACTTTATGTGGCCAGTCTGTTTTTTGTTTTGTTTTTTGATTAAGCCAGCTGTTAGGCAATGTTTCCCGGGAGGTTTTCAGTAGGCACTTCAACAGAATCATACCACCTCCAAAAAGATATTTAATAAAGTCTATTAAAGGGAAACATGAGTCTAACTTATTTAAACACACACACACACACACACACACACACACACACACCACACAACCATTTTCCTCTGTGGCTCCACAAATTGCACTCTTCAGAAAGACAGACATTTTATTTTTGTCTATAATCCCACTCTGCCTCTTAACTGTCTGTATCAGTAGCTACACACAGACACACACACACAGACACACACACACACACACACACACACACACACACACACACACACACACACACACACACACACACACACGTACATTATTGCCTCCCTGCCTAATCATCCTGGAGAAGGCTTTGTTTGGCCCCCAGCTGTGTGTCAGATTGGCTGTTTTCCAGCTTGAAACCCTCCTCTCCATTTCTCCCCTCTCATCTCTTTCCCCTCTTCTTCCTTACTCATTTACTCTTTTCTTCCCTCACATTTGCTCCTCTCACATTTCTCTCTTTTACCTAATTTCACCCTCAGTCTCTCACCTATACATATAATGTGATTCAGCCTCACTAAGCAAATCATTTCTAAGAGAAGCAGATGCATTGGTTACAGTGTTTCATAACCTTTAGGTGGAGAGCATAAAACATACCAAATAGAAGGATAGTAGTGGAGTGAGACTTAAGATCGGCATCATCGAGATCAGCAAGGAGGATATGATGTACTAGCAATGCCCCCTGGTGGTTACTGTCTGTTTGCACAATCATCCAAAGCAATAATTACAACTACCACTACTACAACTACTGCTAATACTACTACTACTAGGCATACTACAAGGCTGCTACAAATAAAAATAATAATTAAGATGTGCCACATAAGGGGTTTTCAAATCTATAAACATTTTAATAATCATGAAAACACATACAGAAGAAGAGATAGCACAAAAAAAGACAGAACATCATCCTGCTAGAAATAAAGGTAAAGGTTTCACCATGGAGTAGTAGATGAAAGTGAAACGGTTATGGAAGAAATAACAGCCAACATGTTTATTCTCCAGAGAGTATGAGACAAGAAACAAGATAATCTCTGGGACAGGAAGTGAAAGGGCTTTGTGGAATGTGGTATTGTAATTTTGAGTAAAATGTGTGCTAATAACACACTGGTTTCTCTCATGGTCTCATTTGTTTCTCGTAATACACCAAGAGAGTGGGTGCACCTACTGAATATTTTAGATAAATAAACCTGCCAGACGTTATCCCAGGAAAGCCTGTTAACCTGACCCTTCAGACACATTTAAGGTTCAGAATACTTATATTTCAAACTCATTTTTAATTTTACATTTAACATTGAATGCACATTGTTTAATAACTATCGTTATGTTTATCTATTTTGTATAAACATTAGCATGTATGCACTGTACATATGTGGGCCATGTAGTTGAGAGTATGAGATGAGCTGACATGGGACCAAGGGAGTCACTTTGTTTTGCAAAGTTCTGGGCTCATCAGGAGTTATTAGGGGTGTGACGATATAGTAGCCCACGATACATGACGATGAATAATATTGGGGTCATGAGTACAAGACAACAAAATGTTTTAATACTATTTTGAAGAAATATTCAATGCTGAAAAATATGATTGGAGGGTCTGTGGGTCCTCCTCCAGATGATTTTGAGCATTAAACACTATTTTCAGAACATTTGGGGACAAACAACATGATGGGGACAAAATCCACCATTTCAAAAAGTGATTGGGACAGGTCCCCAGTGACCCCAGTGTAAATGACACCTATGCATGGGACTAGATTTTCTTCAACAATACCGTGCAACAGTAATTTACACAATATCACACTATACAGTGAACTACATGGAGAGATATAGTGCGATAGTTCCAACAACAATTGGAACAGAGTTTACATAAAGGTGAATGAGGATTAGGGTAAAAGAAAGGAAAGTGAGTTTTAAATTGTAGGTTTTTCTGAGGCAGTGTTAATGCTACTGAACCAACAGAGCATGGCAATTGCTACAATGAAGTTTTTAAGAGAGCTAAATTAGAGCAGTCTGTGTTAAACGAGGACAGATTTCTTCTAAGAATAAAGGCAAACTTCAACATAGCTCTGGCACACAATTGCATGGACTAATGAAAGCGGCTTAATTAAATAAAGTACAAGTGACTGACAGTTTGCAGGTTTGTCTGTTCCTGTAATGTGGCAGAAGATTAGTTTAAACTTTCATTGGTGATATAAATTTAAAAATTGAAGTGGTTCATGATAGATTAAATGGGGTGAAGGTTGATAGGAGAACTGCAGTGTCCATAATAATTCAGTGAAGATTGTTACATTATAAAAGTATTGACAACTTGTCTGAAATGAATAGTAAATACAATCCTTGTATTTTGAGAGGTGTTGGTTTTAGCGTTTTGTGTAATGACTTTTTTATGCCTTTTAATGGAACACATTCAGATGAACAGGGCCCACAGAGAACAATACAGAACAAATAATATGAAAATACAAAACAACAAAACAAAAGGAGCAGAAAACACATTGTATGAGGGAGATATAAATTAATATGTATCCTACAATTTAATGGTCTTTTACTGTGTAATTTGCCAATTATTAGAGAGGTGTTTTGTTTGACAATTATTTAGAGACAGAGTCGGAGAGATATTGAAATTTAATACAAAACAGATGAATATTGGGAGTGCTTTGCAGCGTTATCGCATTATTGATGTGTGCAACAACAAACACAATATGAATTTAAAAATTGAATTGCAAATTTTGAGAAGGCGTCATTTCCTGCCACGTAACGGCGCATGCGCATCACTCAGCTAATCATTTGGCTACGTGTACCCGGTGTGTGGAAAGTGTTCAGGTGTCTCCCCTCTGCTGGATAACAAGCTGCCATTAAACCCCAAAACCTTAAAGGAGTGAAACCATGGGAGGATCGCAGAGTGTGGAGATACCGGGAGGAGGCTCCGAGGGCTACCACGTCCTCCGAGTGAGTTTTACGCCTCTGTAGGCTGCTGTTAGCTGTTAGCTTAGCATCTGGTCCTCGGCGGAGGATCTTCTGCTCTGTGTGTTGACGAGAGGCCGGGGAGACTGCTGGGGCCTCCGTCTAGAAAACACTAACAGTAACCGTGCCAGAAAAGTGTTATGTGCTTTCGAGTTGTATTACAGCCACATACAGCTTATACGTTATGTTTTTATTTATTTATACCTGCATGTTAACTGGTTAAATATCCCACATAGAAGCTAAACACTAGCTAGCTAGACCTACGTAGCAGCGCTGAATGACAGCTGCCAGGCTGGGTTTGTATCCATTATCGGACACGTCCCTGTGAACAGTGCTTCTTGGCGGCATGGTGGCCCAGTGGCCTCTATGGCATCACAGCAAGAAGGTCCTGTGTTCGAACCCCGCTCGTCCCGGCCTTTCTGTGTAGAGTACGCATGTAATCTCTGTGTAGTCTGCGTGACTTTCCCCCACAATCAAAAAACATGTTAGGGTTCTCTCAGTGACACAGTGGCTGCCCACTGCATGTATGTGACACAATATACCTTACCCCTTGTTTTGCAAACATTTGACTAAGGCAGCTCTAGTAACAAGCTGAGCAGTTGTCAACAGTACAGTTGTAGACCATAGGGGGGTCCATCCTGAACCAGCCGGGGGGGGGGGGAATCAACTTCGCTTTGGGTGCATGCACGGTGTTGAAGTTACTACAGTGATACTTGGTATGAATCGTAACCAAATCGCATTCTGACACGTTTGTTTCCCAAAACTTTCTCATTCTAAAACCACAGCAGGCCCTGCTCTCTTGTGTGTTGGTCAGCTCAGGTCTATCATGTTCATGCTGTACATACAGATCATCTCTGATGCTCTTTATTTACAAGCCATTCAATGAAATCAAGTTGTCTCTCAATTTGTACCCAGGTCCAGGAGAACTCCCCTGGACACCGTGCAGGACTGGAGCCTTTCTTTGACTTTATCGTCTCCATCAACAACACTAGACTGGTAAGAAAAGTCAGCAAATGTATCTAGCCGGGCCTAATGCAAGTGAGCTGGGGCTGCATGTTTAATGGCTGCCCCTCCCCTTCTCTGCAGAACAAGGACAACGACACCTTGAAAGACTTGCTGAAAGCCAGCGTGGAGAAACCAGTTAAGATGCTGGTTTACTCCTCAAAGACCCTGGAGTTGCGGGAGTCGACAGTCACCCCCAGCAACGTGTGGGGGGGGCAGGGCTTGCTTGGTGTCTCAATCCGTTTCTGCAGCTTTGAGGGAGCCAATGAGAATGTCTGGCATGTGCTGGTAAGTAAAGCCTGCGTTTTGTGTTTTTATGTAGTCCAGCTGTACTTTGTTTGGTTATTATTCTCATTAATTCTCTTTAACAGGAAGTGGAGCCTAATTCCCCAGCAGCCCTCGCAGGTTTGCGGCCGCACACTGACTACATCATTGGAGCTGATACTGTTATGAATGAGGTAGTTTATCAGCGCTTCAGGTCCTTGAAACTGTCACTCCTGCACATTCTCCACCTGATAATGATAATGATTGTGTGTCTCCTGGTTTCTGTCTGCCTCTCTGTGACTTTCTCTCTGCAGTCAGAGGACCTTTTCTCTCTGATAGAGAGCCATGAGGGGAAAGGCCTGAAGCTCTACGTGTACAACACAGACACCGATAACTGCAGAGAGGTGATCATCACACCTAACAGTGCCTGGGGAGGAGAGGGCAGGTAACAGACTTTATTTAACACACTTTACTTTCAAAATAAATACACAGAATGGTTTTCACTTTATTACGTCTCAAGTTGGCCAGATAATCAGACAGAATTGCCATTTTCTGTTTTTGGACGAGGAGGTTACCTTTTTTCATGACGATTGACTAAATATGCTGATTTGAAAGCCTATGATTATATTTATAATAATAAAATAAAATTTCAATGTAAAAACATTGTACAATGTGAAAGGGGGTCGCTCATAGTGATGAACCATAAAAGATTTATCTGTAGCTGCGGCATTACAGAGCTTTATAATGAGTTTCAGCTCATTGTTTAGCTATACGGCCCACAACTGTGCTGTTTTGGTTCACTCTCAGCGTTCTTATAGTGTCGTCTTCTGCTATAAACTCTGAAAAACCACTGTGCATTATCTGCTCTGCACCAACACAGTTAGCTGGTGAAAATAGTGGAGTATTTAGCTGCTAAAGAGACAGATATTTCCCTCAGAAGTTGGTAGAGACCAAAAACCGAGCTAACAAAGTGTGAATATTGGACTTTGATTTGCAAGTGGATACAAACATAAGTCTGAGTGAATGATTATGTTGCTCTGTAACTGCTGGATCTTTAATAAGCTTTTTGCCATTTATGTGGCCTTGTTTCTGTCGCTTTTCTTCATTGCTATTTTTCTGCATCCGGCACAGGATGGAGGTTGACATCCCCATTTTTAATCGTGCCCACAAAGCTCTGATTTGCTAACTCGGTTGGGAGAAATCAGTATGTACAACAATGTACACCACCAGGCCTATGTGAATAACTGAAAAACAGGCTAATCTCAGATGTGTTTTAATGAAAATCATCAGGTTTGTTAGTTGGATTCCTTACTTTTTTTCCCCTCCCTTTTCCAGCCTTGGATGTGGGATTGGCTATGGATACCTCCACAGGATTCCCACCAAGCCTTTTGAGGAAGGGAAGAAGATCAGCTTCCCTGGGAACTCTCCCAGTGAGCCCGTCAGTCCGCTGAAGGATGGCTTCACGGAGGTCAGGACACACATTTGATCATACCATTTACTCCAGTTCAGATTGGAGATGTATGAAATGAACTCTTGAATTTGAATGTGATTACTAAGAAATCACAACTGGAATCAGTCCTTATGTAATAACATTGTGTATTGCCCTAAAATTTTACCTACTGTTACACTCAGTGTTCACTGTGTATCCTTGAAAGCTATCGGTGCAAAGTGTTTCATTATGAATGCAACCAAGCAGGCAGAGGGACAGAGAACAAGGTTTTACAGTTAATTGCAATTGAATGTGAACATATGTGTTGGACAGCAGCATCTTTTTCTCTAACTCCTTCATGTTCTCTCTCAACACCTTCAGGTTCAGCTTTCAGCAGTGACCCCTACTCCTACTGCACCTGTTGTCTCCTCTGGCCTTGAAGATTCACTGTCAGGCCTGTCAATCAGCACAGCCCCGCCCACCATGCCCAGCGAGCTGCAGACAGGTATTCTTTCACACACATCCACCTGAGACGAGTTTAGTTATGCGTCAAGTTTTCGCCATACACTACACACGTAGCCACGCCATTTATACTTGTGCGTTAGTGTCTGTGTTGCTCTGCAATTACACTCCCAAAACACTAGTTGGCGGTGGAGTTTCTATGTTTGATTGTCTGGACTTCCTTTTTAGTCCTTGGCTAACGTGAATGGGGGTGAAATGATGATCATGCAGCTCTTCTAGACCTTCCAGATGTTATCGTAACAAATGGATCAAATTCTGATAGTGGAACATGTCATTTTGCAGGGGTTGTGTATTTAACCTTTTTCAGCAACTTTTCTCACAATGTATGGAAAGTGTCTGGTTTGGCCACTGGTAGAATTGACTTGAAAGCATTTTCTTGGGGCTTGGAGGAAATGCAATGATACCAAGCCGATCAATCACAGTTCTTGCGTTCTGTGTTGCCGCAACCTGTAGTTACATTTTTGGTGAGGGTGCGGTGTACCTATGGCGTAGATTTGATGCTGATGTATAAATTGGCCTTTAGTCCAGCACATTGAAATGGTTACATTATGCTCATTTTCAGGTTCCTAATTTTATTTAGAGGTTGGACCAGAATAGGTTTACATGGTTTAATTTTCCAAAAATACCATATTTTTGTCAAACAATGCTGCTGCACCTCTTTTCCCCCTGTGTGTCGAAGGAAGCATCTCACTTCTATTTGATCTTTTTTGGGAGTTGCCCATGTGCATTACCTAGGTAAGGACTAGTAGCCAATCAGAAGCAGAGCAGGACGGGTCCTGACAAGCAAGTTAATGTGATCCAAAACTAAGCTGCTTCAGAAGGGGAGGCAGCGGGCAGACATCTTGTCACTGCGTGTGCTACATTCGGGTTGTTTTCAAGCAGTTCAGGAGTGGGAGATGGTAATCCCTCTGGTGTGGAATTTGCAAACCTATTACATGCACAAAAAAGATATTTAACACTATAAAGCATAAAATGACCACTTTAAGCTCATATGTGATATTTGTGATTTGGAAAAACGGTGTCATGCTCTCTCAAACATTGTGTATTTGCTCCATATGTTTTTATCTGGTGTGCTTGTGTCACCCTTCCCTTCAGGTTTGCCCACAGTGCCTCTGCTCCCCTCCTCCACCAGCCCCACCCTCAGCCCCCTCACTCCACTGAATCCTGCCTCAACTAGCTTCAACCCCGCCACCACGCTACCAGGTGGGTGATTTCTCAAACATTCACATTCAAAACACACACCCTCGATCTGCTGAGTCAGTGAGCTTTCAACACCAAGCACTGGGAAAAGCCCATTCATGGCAGCTCCTTCTCGACAGATTTAAATGGGTGGTTAGGAAAGAAGAGAGGTCTGCATCAACCAATATCCAGTCTTAGTTTGTTCACACAGTACACACACTTCACTGCTGTAAAGTAGCATGAGTTTATTGTAATTAAGGCACTGATCGTTAGGGGAAAAAAATTAATGATAGCACACCCTCAAATGACATTGTGTATGTATGTGGTTGTAGGTCTGATGCCACTCCCAGGTGGCTTACCTCCACTCCCTAACTTGCCCAACCTCAACCTGCCGCTTCCAGACCTCAGTGCCATGTCACTAGCAGGCACCAGAACCTTACCACCGCCATTAGGAACCTCAGGTAAATAAACAATCTTACTTTATGTACCAGTTTCACACTCTAAATATTCATACTCTATACAACTGGCTCCCAAAGGTGCTGGTCAGGACCCCACAAGGGGTCACAAATTAGATCTAGAGATTATTAACAGGATCAGAAAGTAAGTAAAAAACAGAACACTAAAACAAGGGGAAAAGTCAGTCTTTGGTTGAACTGGTCACAGTGGTAAACACATGCAACCAGTGAAACAAGTAGACATTGTTTGACTATGTGTAAATGTACACTGTTGCTAATGAGTGTGATTGTGATGGAGACTGCTAATATCGATATCAAAATCCTGTCCCTTGCCTACAGATTCTGCATTCATATGCTGATATGTGTTTATAGAGATTGAGTGGTTATATCCAAGAGCAGTGACTTCCTGAAGTATTTGAAGTTACCACTCCTAGCTAAAAAATAGTCAGACTGTTTCCAGACTTTATGCTATGCTAAGCGGCTGCTGGCTGTAGCCGTGTTTTCACCGGAGAGATATGAGAGAGGTATCCATCCATCTTTTTCTCAGCAAGAAAGCGTATTCCCCAAGATGTCATACTATTGCTTTCAGTTTGAGATGTGGTTGTGAGGTTCATTTTAAATATAAATCCTAAAAATAGCATCAACACATCTCTTGTTGTTCATTCTTTTTCCTCCTCTCTCCAGCATGCCCACCGCTGTCCTCTTTCCCGCCCCTCAACCTCCCAGGTCTGGCCCCCTTACCCCCTCTACCGACCATGCTGCCCTCCCAGCTGCCTCCTCTCCTCCCTCAGGCAGTGGCCCCCGTCCTGCCCATTTCCACCACCACCACTCCTGCAGCCTCAGTCACAGTCACGGCAGCAGCACCAGCGACAGAGGCCGCAGTCGATCTCACAGCCCACACGGAAGCCGCCTCTACGAACGCTACGGAATCGCCGCAACCCACGGAAACGACACTAACGTTGTCTTAACCTGGGAAGAAAGATCCCGCTTGCCATCAAACCAAAACACACACCTGGTTTCTCTCTTACCCCGTCTGTCTTTCTCTGTGTTTTTCTATTTATTTGGCCAAGAGGGACAGGCAGACAGCTGCATTAGTTCAGACACAGGTGTGCATGCTCCGTTTATTGGTAAAGAAGCTTGTGTGGAGCGATGAAGGATGAATGGATATGAAGAATGGAGGACGGATGTAGACTGACTTTACCAACATGTCTTTATTACCTGATTGTCATGGAGCTTGCCTAAGCTGCTGTATGTGGAGGGCGAGGTCTACTCTTCGCTTTGTAGTTTGTCTTCGCACTTCTGCAGTTACAAGGCAAAGTACTATCTTAGGACCACCCCCCCTTTCTGATCTGGCAATCCTCTCTTTCACATAGTGTTTGTGTTTTTTTGTTTTTTTTTTTATATATCTAAACAGTGTATGTTAATAGGGCTGGATGATAAATTGAAATTACTTGATTACTACCTACATCACAATTCTCCTTTATATATAAACTGCAATAGTTACAACTAATGACATCTAAGTAGAATTTCAGACAACCAGTCAGCTCACAGTCCAGCCCAGGGGTTGGGACAAAGATAGCAGATTGGGCCTACAAGAGGGAAGAAATATTACACGCTGCTGTATTAAACCATAAATAAAGGTAAATATGAAGTCATCATAGTTTTTTTGGTCTTATCATCCAGCCCAGCATGTGTAAACTTTTTATTAGTTAATAGACCCCCTGACAAATAGATTCATTTGATCGACATGTATTAATTTTTGTTGAAATTCCTGTATGAGTATGTTCACCCAATGAATGAATATGCATTATTTTGCACCACCTTTGTGTTTTGAAATTATTATTCTGTCCCTGTATGTCTCCATGTATATCCATAACTACAGTACCTGTCTCTACCACACAGAGATTAACAGCCGGAAGGTCTTGCCAGGGGGGACAGAGGTTTGACAGTTATGAGCTACTGAATGGAGTGTATATGCTTGCTGCTGGGGGATCAGTTGGCAGGAGTACAACATGAGTGCGGGGTTATTAAATATATAGGTCTCCCCCTGGCAGGGCTGAAGCAAATTGATAGGCAGTGATGCAGTACAGCCACACGGTGTCACTGTCACTTTCTGAAAACATCCACACTGTGCACAGAGCGAGCAATAAAGCCAAATGAATTTTACATGATGCCTGTGTGTCTTTCTATGGTCTGCAGTGTCGTTGCTACTCTTTTACAGTCTCTTACACAAGAACATAAAGCTGGGAATGGAATAGGAGCACCGCAGCGCAATAAAGCTAGGCTCTAAGGAAAGCCAAAAGGGTCATTCACATGCTCGAGCATCCGTCCTTAACACAGACCGGTGAAAATGGCAGGTGTAGGTCACACCGACCACCTACAAATTACACGCGTAAAACTTATAAATCAAAATAAGTAGGGGTAACACATGGCTGTCATTAATCATGTGGTTTACGCACTTGGTGCTAGCACCCATTTTCCTTTGTCAAGTAGAAGAGAGAGGAGAAATAAAACTAGACAGGAGGGAGACATGTTAGTGTAATGCCTTACTGCACCCGATGGATAAGATTATAATGTATCGAAGTGGGCACAGACTTTCATTTGGGACCAGCACGCCGTGAGCAGATATTTCCCGCAGTTTAATTGGTCCGTCATGTTACTGAAATTACATCTGTGTTCGGGTTCTTTTGTTCATCTAATGGCTCACAAGTAGAAAAGTAATTCTTTTTACAGCAGGCGAGAGAGCGCATAGAAACCCACAACTTGCTCTGTAACTGCTTCAGCTTGTCTTTCATCTGAATTCTCGCCCAGGAATATTTCTCTTTCCTGTCATGGGCGTGCTTTGGGCAGAGTCCAGGTTGCCTGCATTTGAGAGGGTTTTAAAATGCCACAACAACGTACAGGTAAGTGTTTTATTTACAGGACGACAACATTTGGATATATCCACTTGATTTCTAGCTGCAGTACATCATGCTGCAGCACAGCCAACCTGGAGCGCGCCCACTTCTAATGGTATGAACAGGCCATCCCTAACTACACAGTATACTGGGACTTTGCTCCATATAATGTCTGTTGGACTTTTACATGAAAGTAAACAAAAACCCGTGTGGACATTGATGTTGGTGGCAGAGGAACGTGTTGCATCCCCCCCTCCCCAAACAGCACAGCGGGTGTCCGTTTCAGAAAAGGGGCTCTGGAGAGTGTTCCTCTTAACACAGTTCAAGTATGCACATATGCAAGGCGAAAACCATTCACACGTTACAAACTAAAAGCAACATTTATAGCAGCAAACTGAGAACAGCTTTCAGAAGGGAAACTCAAAGAAACTGAGCAAAGTGAGACACTGGGAAGCAAGGATAAGCCTCATTATTATGTATTGGCTAGTGGGTAAGGTCTCCTGCAGGTGAAATGTACACTAAATTCTGTCTTAGTCTTTTGCAGTACAGTAACAGCTGATCCAGCCCCTCTCAGTTCAGTCCAACTTCAGGCAGCTTGATGAGGACATCTATGACAACGTGGTGCTGTAATACTCTACTGTTTGAAACACGGTGAGTCTCATCTGAACAACGAAAATGGATTAAGACAGATTCACAGATCCACTTCCTGTAAACTCAGCAGTAGAACTGAATCGCTTTGCGATGAAACAAAAAGTGTGAACCCGAGGACTTGGCTGCTGAGTCCAGAACTAGCCCTCGCTGTAGTACTTCATGCCAAATGTGTGAGCCCAGATCAGGACCAGATCTGGACCGGAAGTGCAAATCGACCCCAGAAATTTAATCTGGAGCTTTTTTTTTTTTAGTAGAGTCCCATCAAATGTTACTTTTACGTTAACTCTTGTCGTGTGCAGAGGGGACTACAAGGGTCAGTTCAATGAGATGTAACCATCGTTTTGTGCCTTATAACAATGGATTGCAGAGTTGACTTGAACAAGTAGTCCATCTTTAATGTACAGATACCTTCTCTGCAACGCACACCTGTTCACCCTTTTCTTCGTCAACGCCACCCTCAAATAAGCAGCAGGAGAACATCTATAACAGCGGTTTTAAGTTGAGTAAAATCTAAGCCATCTTGTAAGGTGTATTATGGTGTAGAACTAAAACAGGTGGCCTTGGACCGGGCATCTAGGAGCCCCTATAGCTGTGGAAATGTCTCCTAAGGGATTCCATAAAGTCCATAAAGAGATCTACTAGCTTCATCATTTTCTTTTCTTCTCCAAACACAAAGACTCTTGTAATTCTCCTCTCTCTCCCTTTCCACTTTCCTTCTATTTTCCAGTTTTGTTCTTTACCCCCCCCCCCATCTCAAACATTTGAGTTCAAGCACAACTCTGTACAACACATGCATAGGGAGTGTCCCCCTTCCACTTCACACTTTTCCATCTCACGTTTAATTCTCCTCTGTTGCTAATGTATCCATTTGGGAACAGCTCAAGTAAAAAAAAAAAAAAACAAATAAAACCCGATCCACATCCATTGTCCTCCCTTTCTGACAATCCTGCCGTGAGATTGGCCAGAGGGTCCAGTCAGTCATGTGAGAGAGCCAATCAGTAGGTAGGGAGAGATGAGCCGGAGGGCTGCAGGGAGCCGGAGGAGTTTGAGCGTCTCATGTGAGGGAGGAGGTAGGAGTCCGAGCACAGTTGGTGAACGTCGAACCTGTCCTCCTTGCGGTAGGCCAGACAGCGCCGGATAAATGCCTGCAGAGCAGAGTAGAACATATTATAAGATAGGACTTTCCCACTGATCCCACTCTCAGGAAATTCAGTGTGTGTGTGTGTGTGTGTGTGTGTGTGTGTGTGTGTGTGTGTGTGTGTGTGTGTGTGTGTGTGTGTGTGTGTGTGTGTGTGTGTGTGTGTGTGTGTGTGTGTGTGTGTGTGTGGAGGTGTGTCCGTCATTCTGCAATTACAACCCCAAACGCTAGTCGGCAGTAGCGCTACAGCGTCCACTGTGTTGACATTTGCCGGCCGAGCAGGCTAACTTCCGGTTTAGCGCTCCGCTAATGTAAATGGGGGTAAAATTGTAAACGTGCGGCTGGTGTAGCCTTTTCAAATGTTACCGACCGAATGGATCACATTCTGATAGCGAAACGAGTCATTTCGCTCGGGTTGCGTCAGTCAAATATATTGATTCACTGTGTTACAGCCGCCGTTTTGGCCACTAGTAAATGTTACTTCAAAGCGCGGGGTACTTCCGGTCGGCTTGGAGGCATTGCGAGACTACCCAGCCAACCAATCACAGAGCTTATGGTCCACTTCGACTAGACGTGTAGTTACATTTTTGAGGAGGTGCGATAGTGTAGCCTCTGCATAGCCCCGTAGCCTACGCCGTCGATTTGACGCAGAAGTATAAATTGCACTTTAAAGGTTAGGCGTGTAGTTGTGATGGTTAAGGTTACACTATGTCAATGACATGTGCGTGTGTTACCTTGGCTTCTGTGCTAGCCTGTGGTTTAGTAGGGAATTGGACCTCTGTGGCTTTGAGGATGGTGTTTTCCTGGAGAATATCCTGCTGTGATTGGTTGTGACCAAACGGCTGGAAAGACAAGAACACATAGAAACTCATGTCCAATCCAATGTCTTCACATTGCTTCAACTATAGTAACTGGAATGTGAAAAATTAATTAAAGAGACTTCTCCGACGTCCAAATCTATTTTCCCCAAAGCACTGCCTCTTAGAATTGACCTGAGTGGCCCAATGTTGACAATGAATCCACGTGGAACGATATACCGGAGGAGTACATGATCTTCTCCGAGGTCCTTTGCATTGTTCAAAATTTGTACAACGAAAGGGGTAACAGGTGGTGTTTAGTGTTATACCTTGCGTCCGTAGAGGCACTGGAAGAAGATCACTCCCACAGACCAGACGTCCACCTTGTTGGAGATTTTAGGTGGCTCCTTCCCCACCACAAAACACTCTGGAGGAAGGTACCTGAGAAACACACACCCACACAATAACAAACACATAACTGAGAGTTCAGTTCAGTTACGCTGCTTCAAGTGGTAGGAATTAAAGGTAATTCCTTGACAATAAAGAGGTGTAACCCACGTTACAATGTCAGTCTGAGAGGGGTAGGTGTGTGTTACCAGTAGGTGCCTGCTCCCTGTGATGTGAGGTCCATCCCATCCACGCCATAGTTATCATCATCCATTATCTTAGACAGGCCAAAGTCTGTGATTTTGATTTCTCCGCACGCAGTACCATCCACCAATAAGATGTTACCTGCACACCACACAGACAGTGAGACTTGAGTACAGTGTGTGAACCTGATCTTGGAAGGATTGGTTTCAACTACAGCAGTATCACCATCTGCTCCGCCCAGCCAAACCCATTTTTCACCCAATGTTGAGAAGGAAAACACTTAATGCTCGCCCCACACTAGGGGATAATTGGGCAGATTCTGGGTCCGATTTGCCCCTCCCGACAAGTGCAGGGGTGTTCCCGATTTGAAGTTGAATAGATTATCTGCCCAAATCATCCTGTAGTGTGGTTTACAGATATAATCTTAAGGTTAAGGACTAGATGGGAGTCTCCCTGATTTCAAATCATGAATATCAATCATGTTTGATATTTAGTTCTTACGATTTAAATATAAAAATCTGTTAAATCTGTTATGTCTGCGGTATCCCACGTTTTTGAAATCAGTTAAAATCAGTTAAGATTTGAAGAGTGAAAGGACCATAACTGACTCTAGCTTCTTCTTAGAAGTCAAAAGCACTGCAAAAAAAGCAAGCAGTCTACTTGTTTTCATCAGTTATCTACATTTAATTTCATGTATGAAGATGTGACCCACCAGGTTTGAGGTCATAGTGGATGATGGGGGGTTTGATTTCATTGAGGTAGCGCAAGGCGCTGACAATCTGCATGACAATGGAGCGGGCCTCCTTCTCTGACATCAGCTTGTTTTGCTTCAGGTAGAAGTCCAGGTCGTTGCCTTCACAGAACTCCAGAACGGTACAGAACCTGGGCGAGCAGCGGACACACATGGTTACATACAGGAGAAAAAGATCAAGTTCAACAACTGACGGTGAACAAATCAAGGTAATTTATTTGTGCTTACTCTTATATCAAGAATGTAACAGTACTGTCATTCATTTATTGACCCCTCATTAGAAAGGAAGCTGGAAAGACTGAAGGCAAAGGGGAGAAATTTTACTTGCGCAACTAATGATTTTCACTTGCACACTATGCTAGCATGGTAACACTCATCGCTTGGCTAGCTTCCTGTCCTCATTCTTCAAAGGACATCTACACGACCGGTGCTGCTATGAGAGCAGCGTAAGTTAAGTCTTTTAAGGAATAGGTCAGTGCATAATGTGCGTGTGCAGCGAATGTGTGGGTGAGTGAATGAGCGAGAGGCAAAAGTAAATGTAAAAGTGAACAGAGGAAAAGATTAGCAGTAAGTTGTCAGTCTGGCAGTAAATGTACAGAGTAGGTTACAGTGTGCCTGTTGTTTCCCCAACTGTTAAAAGTGGAGGCGGTTAGTACTAGCAAACATCTCCCCTGTATAGTACATTTTTGGCAGCTAAGTAACACTTGCTATATCTTGCTAAGAACTTCAGGTACGTGCATAGACTATACTAGTGTACAACTCTGTCCCCTAAACATACTGTACATTGTGTACACAAATTATATGTCAGTTTTCAGAGGAGACAGGAAACTGGTTGTTAAAGAACGGACCCTGGTGAGTGTGGAGGAGCTGATGTTAGTAAGGCAAATTAGGGATGCAAACTAGTTCTGTTAATCTAATGAGGAGATGTTTCTTTTGAATTTTAATGTGCAAATGAAATGCTTGGTAATTATCCATAAATTCTGTGCAGGATCCATAAATTCTGTGCAGGAAAAAAAAGATTCACCAGTATGGCTGCACAATGAATCAAATATTGATCAAGATTATGATTTTAGCTTCCCACAATTACATGAACATGATCGATGGCGATATCGCCGTTTAAAATGCATGCTCCTCTCGTGGAAACTGCTGCATATCAAATCAAGCGCTTCCTAAACTTAAAGCCAAGGGGGCGATTTGGCTGTCTGCGCACCCTCCTGCTGCTACAGTCCACAGTGGACAGCAAAGTCTGCATGTGTCCGCTGTCAATTTTCAAAATAAAACACTCTGTGCACCCTGTCCTGATCATAAATCAACACAGTTAAAACAGATAAAAAAGAACCATGTATCTACATTGCCTACTTAATCATAGAAGCAGCACAAAAATCAAGCACTGATTACCAAATCAACTAAATGTCAACATGTCAGCAAAATCAGGCAGGCAAAAACCCTATGATTCTGAAATGCTTCCTGTGGGATATGCAGCTAAGCGGACAACCGAACAAAACCGGATCGCAGAGAGCCGTTGCTGGTAAGCAGAGTAGAAGCCATAGGTAGAAGCACAAAAAGCAAAATAACAACAAGCCAACAATGTGCTCAGCTCCTGAAATGTGTCTGAGACGCTTCCATTGGAAGTTAACACTGCGCAGAGGATGGGACAAAACCGTGGCGCAGCAGTAGCTGGAATCAGTGGACTTCCCAGGTAAAATGTTTTTTATATTTTGCTTCTAGGAGATGATGCACTTTAAGGACCAGGCTTATTTCGATGCAAAGATTTGTACATGCAGAAATGCAGCACATCATGGATTTGAACATTAGAACAGTTGTCGGTTTATTTCAATTTGCAAGTGCAATAAAAATATGTTGTCCCTAAAATCAATGAATAATCGTGATAAATAATCATGATCTCAGTATAGATCAATATAATCGTGATTATCATTTTGTCCATAATCGTGCAGCCCTTTGCACCAGCAATCATTTTATCATCACACTGCAGCCCTCTGAATCACCCCTATCACTTCCCAAAGCAAAGCTTTGCTAACATGGTACAATGTGAGCTGGGTCAACACTCAACCTTTGTATTCAACACAGAAAGGGTTTCATTTGGTTGTCTGGACAAATATACAGCATTGTCAGCCTGGGTAAGTAACCCTGGCTACCAGTTTTCTTTAACTCTCTTTTGGGTGACCACGCCACATGCTTAGTTAACACCCAAAGATATAGGTTTATTGTCAGGGCATGTTGATGCTGAATCATACATTTTTCTGTGAACTGCTTTTACTATTTATTCTTTCGCAATCTGATAACACCTGCATGATGTTTGCTCTTACTTGTAGCACCCACTGACATAGAGCCTTCAGGCAAAATACAAAACACTCATTATTTGAATATTTGCTGGGTAGGGCCTTTATGGAGGTCTGAATCTTACTGATGTGCACCGTGTTGTTATAAGCTCACAGTGCTGTGTGATCAACAACCTGAGGATATGTCAGCCCAGCAGGGGTGCAGCTGGCAGAGGTCAGAGGTGACTCACGTGTCAGTATCCAGCGAAAAATAGTCATACAGTTTGACTATTCTGGGATGGTCCAGCTGCTTGTGTATCCGGTACTCCCTGCATGCATGCCTGGAAGGAAATAAATGTCAACATAGTGTGTGTGTTGCGAGAGAAACATTTTGTCTTTGCGTCTCCGAACTTGTGTGCATTTGTGTGTGTGTGTATATATGAGACCTACTTGTGGTAGTTCTCCTTCTTCTCCTCTCTCCAGTTCTTGTTGAGCTGGTGGATTTTAACAGCTGCGTAGCGCTGCTCAAACAGGTCAAAAGCCTGTGTGTGATAAGAAAACACACACACACACACACACACACACACACTTCTTTTTACAGACTTTACATACAGAGGGGATAGGGGATAAAAGCTAGTCCAACCATACAGACATTACCTTATAGACTTCACTGAAGCCGCCTCTGCCCAGCAAGTGCAGCAGCAGGTACCTCTCATTCAGGGTTGGATGGTCTTTAAACCTGTGTGTGTGAGAAGGCACACAGACATTTTTTTTAAGCTCATTGCTTGTACCCGGCTCGTGCCACCTTTTAACCACATTATATCATAAATCCATTGTACATTAACATATTTATTTTACCATTACAGACTACATGGAGATGCAATACAGAAAAAATATGATATTTTCATCGCCTGGTAAAAAAAACCTGGAATACAACTGTAACTGTAAATTTGATGAAAAGAAACTGATATACAACAGTTTCTTCACAATCTTTCAAAAATATACCAGGCGAATGTCCATGTTTTGGACATATTTACTGTTTATATGTTCACTTTTATTGGGAGTTATCTTCAAAACATTATTTCTCTTCATACAACCACATTCCAAATAACAAAGCTTCCAAAACATTTAAATATTGATAAAAACAGTCAATATCTATGACCAAAAGCACTCCCATGCTTTACAGGACACAGCTTGAGAACAGAACATCCTACAGTAAGTGGGCTCTTTCTCTTTGTATTGAAGAGACGAATCGATTGATATCCTACATGTCTGTGTAGCTGCTACAGGTCGCCAGCAGAGGTTGATAAAGACCGCCTCTGCAAAAGCAAACTCTTCTTCTCTACTTCAATCTGACCACAGAAACGAAACTTATTGGCTAAGCCGACCTCACCAAGATGGCGGCCCGCCAGACGGTCTGTTGACACAAAGGGCCGCTGTTTTTGAACGGAAAACAGCTAGAACAGCAAAAAAATCGACCGGGCAGGTCCGGTAAAGTACTTTGCTAAGATGACATACTTAACAGGTTAATGTGTAGAATGGACTTACGCTGAGCTGTCCTCGTTGTTTATCCTCTTCAGCTCTCTGATATGGAGGTTCCTCACTCTCTCCAGCCGCTCTAGCTCTGCTTGGATCTCAGCTTCTTCCTGCATTAAAACATCATATGAGATGGAGAATTGTACATTTTAAAACCCATCAAGCAATTTTGGACTGTAGATGCCATTTAATACTGAATGCATGACCATCTAAGCATTGTTCTAAATGCATTTCAAGTGCTTCTGTGTACATTCTGGTTATTTCACTGGACAAAAATATCGTATAGTCACAACATGTTCTTATTGACTGACTGATCGGTTGAGTGTGTTGCTATAGACCTTCTTCAGATGCCCAAGGCGAAGCTTGAAGATCTCTTCCTGCTCGTGGTACTCAGCAAGTGTCAGTCTGCCAAAATATGGAAAAGTCAGAAGCTCAAGAATCTAAAAAAAAGTTCTACAGTCAAAACAATATAAAACAGAGGGCAATCATCCCACTAATTCTTTGTGGTATCCTCCACTTTTACACTGACAGTATGTGTATATTGCAGGGTACTCACAGCTGGGGCAGGGAGGGCTTGAGGAAGGGGTCAGAGTCGTTGCCGTTGACCACCTTGGTTTTGCGCTGCTTGGGTTCAGAGGTGGAGGCCACCGAGACGGAGGGCGATGCAGGGTTTGGAGGCTTCCTCTTGGCCAGCAGCTTCCTCTGTCGCTCTATGTCCTCCCTCTGCTGGTTGATGCCCTCCTGCTGCCTGCACAGAGAAGAGGATGCAGAGGTTTAGGAAATGGGTCATGTGAAGAAAATGCTTTAGCAGACAATAAACAGCCTTTGGCAATGTTTTTGCTCCTGGCTGTGAAATGAAGCATGCACACAAAAACCTCTTGTGCCACTTTATTTCTGACCCTTCTGTTTAAAATGCAAAACCTAAACTTCTAAATTAAACTGAATGGAAAACTATGCATGCGTTTGCAGTGTCTTACTTGATCAGGTTCTGGAATGCGTATCCGTCGGTCCACTGTTCTGTGTAGGACGCTCCATGTCTGACAGTGGTGAAGTGACCGAGACGGAGACGGTCCTGCATGCTCTTCTCCCGACACGACTGCTTCTCCTGAGTGCTCTGTTCACAAAAAGAGGCAGACATGAGAAATAATGAGCAGTGTTGCTGAAGGTGTGTCGAAGAGAAGAGAGGAGAGACACACAAAATATTCTGGGGACAAGCCCTAAGTCACATCTCCACCCAGAATAAAGGTGTGGTACATAGCTTTATTTTTCTCTGGACATATTTAAGCTCCATTTAGGAATATTTTAATATCGCTGAATCAAACCACAGTATATTGTGAAAGGGTTGCTTGAGCACCAAATACCCTCACCACTGTGCAGCTCTATGCCCAAAATGGTGGCAACAAGAAAATAAATAATAATTTTTTTTAAAAACGGTGGCCGGTTAAGAGATTCAAACATCTACCGACCCAAAAAGACAGAAATTTTCCCCTCAGGAGTTGTGGACCAAAACAGAGCTAAAAACAGGAGAGAAAACTGGACTTATTATGTGAAAAATGTTGCTCTATTTCTGTTGAATGTAGGCACTTTTTTGCTATCTTTGCAAGCAGTACATTTCAGATCTTCTATATGGTGGCTGTAAGAACATGATAAGATAATAAGTCTCTCTGTTAGGCTTATATACAGTAGGCTGAGTCTCTGTCAGTTTGTGTTTCTTTCTGCCCACATGTGATCAAAAACCATTTTATGTAGCCGTTCTTTAAATCAAATGTATAGTGAATAGACAAAAAGAGTGCACTCATACAAAGACAGACACCTTCTCTATAAGCAGCTTCTTGCTCATGGTGATGCACTTATTGAGCCTCTCCTTGTATTTCTCCAGGAGTTTTTGCTGTTCGTCTATCTGTCTCCGCAGGTCACAGTTAGCCTGTTAAGGAAAAGACAGCAAGAGCTAAATTCAATTTGTTGTATAGTTATAAACATAATACAAACCTGACATGATAACCTACAGTACATTAAACTGTTGTCCTCTTACATGCTCTTCATCAAAACTCAGGTTATGGAAACTGAACTCACCCTGAGCAGGTCATCGATTCGCCCCTCTTTTTTTTCCAGGTCCAGACTCTTGTTGCTCTCCAGAGCAGCAAGTTTCAGGCCTGTTAACTCCGTCTAAGAGAGCCAGACGGGTACAGTCAGAGGTGTATTAATAAATGCACAATGTATAAGATCAAGTGAGTGTTTCATGTGTGCATCATATTACCTGGACAAACTTGCTGGAGGATGCTTTGGGGTTGTGTTCCCCAAAACACAGACCCGTAGGAGAGGAGCTATTCTGCCGGATCTACAAACAAAGAGGTATTGTTAAACCTTGTAACACAGAGACCCACATTCACCTCATGTGCAAATAACTCATCAGAAAACCGTGTGTTCAGGCATTCTAGTCTTTGTGAAATACTCACGATTAAGCCCGGGGCAGAGTGCGAGTTCTGTGGAGAGCGCCGTGCTGATGGAAGGCCTCTGACTGGACTGGAACCATTTCCACCCTGGAACTTTGCAGAGAAAGGGTGAACTTAAAAATCTGGTCCAAACTGATCAATCTTAACATATTAATAATATTATAATGACAGAAGTTGCTCTAATGCTCACATCAAAGTAGTCGCTGATCTTGGGCCCACGTGTGGAGGTCTTCCCTGCATAGAAATTAGATTTTTAATGCGAGCTATCAATAACGCATAGATGCCTACATTATACTGCTTGCAGTTGTCAGTCATACCTTGACTACTCTCTGAATAGGTGTCAGCTTTTCTTTTCCTCCCTCTTGACGATTCAGAGTGCTTCTTCTCCGGGGTCTGTGAATCGATATGAAATAAGAGAGAGAGGAAAAAAAAGTTTAAATCCCCTGCGTTTTACCTAACAAAGCTAGCGGGAAGAAAGAGTACATACTGAGTAGGCAGGGGAGCTCCCTCTTTTCAAATCAGAGTTCTAGGAAGAGGAAGAGAAGGAGAGGTGGAGGTAGTGGGAGTGACAGAAAGACGAGTGGGCCAAGCAAAAAAAAAAACCCTGAGTACTGACAACATGCAACTGTATCTAACCAGGCTTCAATGTTGGTATCTGTGTAATAGAATGTGTAATCTTTTGTTTCAGCTTTTGTTCTGTCTTCTCAAAATAATTAACTGTCATCCATGCCCACTGCAAAAATGGTTATGTGTGTGTGTTCTGTTTACCTCTGACTCCTTGTCGCTAGAGGAACCCAGACTGCCATAGCTGTGGTTAGAGGACTCATTGGCCAGACCCTACAAACAGTGAGAATTGAAACAAATAAGTTAACAAACACATACACACATCTCCACAGGTGTGTGCTGCCGTTCAAGTCCAGTAACCCTATGAAATGTGAATAAAAAGTGAAACAAAGCCTGGAGGGCAGGCCTCTGATAGGAATCCAGATCTTCAGTTTTCATTAGGCGTGTCACTTGGCTCTTTTCCATCACATGTACATTGCCAGGAACCCTGCATCCTTTTTAGGAAAACAGAACATTTAACCTGCTTTTCCACTATGGAAACCTGGGTTTGGTTTTTATTTCCTGCTGCCAAAAAGCTCTTGTTGCTGAGATAGTACTTTCTGATTAGTTAGTCACTGGAGTGAACTTGTTATTGACATCCACACAATGCAGGCTTTGAGCAGTTAAAAAAAGTGTTGTCTTGTGAGCACAAATTGTGTGTGGCGTATCTGAAAAATAAGGAATTATTTTTGTGTGTTGTAGTAACCTTAGCCCCTCCGCTGGTGCTCCCAGTGCTGCCTACTGTGTTACCACTGACAGCTCCTGTGAACCTGGCCTCCAGCAGCTCCTGTCTCCTGGGGTCCAGGCTGTGCAGCTCCTCCATGGGGCCTGACATGAGGGCATCAACAAGAGAAAGGTGAGAAGCTTACATTATTGTCATTACTAGCAAACAATGGTGACAAGTACACGGAAGCAGAGCCGAGAGAGCTGGACATTTTTCTGTGACAAAATGATTTCCTTAATTCCTAGAGAGGAATTACAATGAGCACTAAGAGAAGGAGCAGAGGACGGTATCTGTGGGGAGGATTAGAGAAAATTAAGAGTGATTTGAGGATAAAAATAGAAAAATGGTTTTGATTCAACTGGGCAGTGGGTAGCTCTTTTAAAGATCCACTTTCATGCTATAATGGAAGATAATGTAGATGAGTGACGCTGCATTCCTAACTTAAACAGGAAGGTCATTCTACCACTGGGAAGTCAGGAGGGAGAAGAGACTAGGCCGGGCGGAGTCTCCCAGTATGTCAACACAAACTTAACTTAGCCCTTCTATTACCTCATTAGTTACACTGTCACAATGGCCTCATTGCACAGTGGCACTAGTCGGTGATATTTAGGGATCTCAATACATTGGATGCCTTGCAGATAGAGCACAATACCAGCTGAGACAAGGACATTTAAAGTTTTATACCAAAGAAAGCCACATCTTTTCTGTGTCACACTTGGAAAAGAAGTCACAGTCGCTGAGGAATAGATGTGGGTCTTTCAGAAGTTATGTGGCTAATTCAAATGCTACACGCGTGTATTGTGCTGGTGAAACCGGCCACAGCTTTTGGTTTTGCAGGCCATTCAGGCTTTGCAAAACCTTAGTTTTACATTTAAATGTTGTCAGTACATATAGCCAGATTTGCAGATGTCCAAGTGGTAAACCTTACCTCTGTAAATCTGAGCCACATTGTTCATAAAATGACTCACACACCCACAAGCAGTAGGCTAAACATATAGGTGCCTGACTGGGCCTTGCTCTATGACTACCAGTTTCCAGGGAGAAACACACACACACACACACACACACACACAGGTCCTCTGCTCCCTGCTGACTACTGCTGCAAGTGTTTGTTTCCTTATTGGACATTTCCTGGCTGTCATCTTTACACAGCTCCTGGCACAGGGGCAAGCCCTAAAAGGCATAATGGACATTATGAAACCCTTGAGCAGTGAAACAGGGAACACACTACAAGGCCTGTGTGAGGTTATCTAAGGACAGGGGAGAGATCGATTTAGCCTAATTTATATATATAGTTAGAGCTTTATTTTATAGCTTTATTTTATATCATAGTACATTAGTGTTAAGAGTCTTGGGTTGAAAATTAATTCTTAAACGATATCCTCGGTACTGTAATTGCAAACAGCTTTTCGTTCTTACCGTCTTATTATCACAGCCTTAATTTTCATGTCCTATAATGTCCTATAACTACTAACGTTATAACGTTACTTAGCTGGACGATTATAACAAATTGCTCCCACTTATGATCACTGTTTTGTCACATCCAGCAACTCAGCAATATCGGAGTAAATAAAGTCTCGACAACATGTCAAAAACAATATGCAAACACAGATGAATCCGAACTGGACAGAAAGGTAAAATGCAGGGCCTAATCTCAAGTTTATAGCAGTAGGGGCATGCACTGCAATGCATTAATGGATGCATGCATAGCTACGTTGTTTTAATATCCAACTAGATGCTGTTGATAGCTGGCGAATGTTACAAACTGCTACAAAACACTGTTATCGCACAGCTACGAGTAGCTAGAAACCATGTAAGCTGACAGTCATACAAACAAAACAACAAGCTAGCGCTGCCTTTGTGCAAACATGATAGCTTGCTGCTACTTAGACTGGCCATCAACTGAACTGACAGCTGACGTTTGGCTTCCAATTCACGGCATCAGTGAACTTGACATCCATTTTTACTTCAACAAACGTTAGCTCGACACGGCCAAAATAATCCACTTCTCCTGCAAAGGACACACTTAAAGGAGAATAAGAGTCGGTCGTGCACTTGGCGAGCTAATATACCTTCCTTGCTCTTTGCGGTCGCCGTTATATGTTGTTGAGAAAACGTTGGGGACGAGGAGAGCTGCGACCAAGATGGCGTCGCCTCCAAACTTCCACCACCACTTCCACTGTTACTTTGGACACTCATGAAGCCACTTTACCGCCGAGAGGAGCCAGCGTACACACTGTCGTTCGCGGAAATCCCAAACTTGCGTCCATCGTTTGACACCTGCTGTAACCAAACAGGCCAGTAAACGTGAGTTACAGCGGATTTGTGTTCCTAGACGTCTCGCATTTTGTGACCCGTAAGGGTCCTGCGGAGGAGCGGCTTCCTTAGACACTCGCTGAAACGGATCCAATGTAACCTTTGCATGATGACCGCACCGCGCGCCTGTCAGCATCCACTTCGCGAGAGGAGCTCTGATTCTAGTAGGCGAGGCTATCGCGAGGCTGGCGCGCACCTAGCAGCGCGATGGGGGATGGCATGAGCGTGACACCGAAACAGACACTGATCTGGGATCATTTTACCCTCCTCCAATCTAGCCTTAGGTTGGCTGGAAGGCAGAACTCAGTGTCGACCTGAGAACAGCCTCTTGTTTGGGTGAAAACAACAAACACCCCGAAAAAAATGGCCGAAAGTTCTTGTCTGCTTGAGGAGAACGACGGAAAAGACAAAACACACATATGCAAACATGCGCGCGCGTGCGCACATGCACCACTACATGAATATGTATACACACATAAGTATATATGTGTCTATACAGAAGCCTATACATATAACTTACACATATTCACACGTACATATATAAGCACAGGCCTACATATATACATATAGTATATATTATGCATAGTATACATGTACAATTTATATATTATGTACAGTATGCATGTACAGTAGTTTACAGTTTGTGTTGTGTGTTTGTGTTTATATGGACCTGTGGTGTTAATAAGCTTTTTTTCAGTCTTGAAATACAAGTTGTGGGGGGGAGCGGGGAGTGGGGTGCAGGTGGGAGGATAGTGATGTGGTCTGGGCTATAAGGTCTTTTTTGTTCCAAATTTGGTGCAGTGCATCAAAATGCCTTTGCCTTCTTGTAGGGCAGCATGCACATACACACACACACACACACACACACACACACACACACACACACGGGATCTTTAACATTCAACTGTTTGGCCTACATTTTTTTCCTACATTCCTTTCTAATTGTTGCATGAAAATAATGTTACCAAAACTGTGAGATCAGAGTCAGCAAATGTGTGTCTGTCCAGAAAAGATGTATAACACCTCTAATATTTGAAAAGTAAATTCTAATGTAATTTCACTGTATACACCTTCAAAGTAATAGTAGTAAAAGGATTGTTTGTTTGTCGAACCCCTGCTCCCCTTGCAGTCAGATTGCATCAGGAAACAGACGAAGGCACAAACGATCATACTGCACCTCATATGCACCTGCCCATGGTAACCTGATTTTTTTGGTCACATGGTATCCATGGTAACAGAGCAATAGTCCTGACAGGCAATGGGGAGGGTTGTATAAGCAGTCTACTATATTACACTTCTACACACTACTACACACTTTACACACTACAGCACATACACAGAGTTTGTGATGTCATTTCAGGTATGAAATTGGAGTTGTGTTGTGAGGAAAAGGGTGACGGGTGACTGATATTCAAGCAGCAGTCGCGACATTCCAGGAGCATCAAATGTCTGATGGAAAACTGGGAGCGTCTCCAGTTTGTGTATAGGCGACACACAACTGTGGCCTACCACAAGAATGCCCCTAGGAATAATAATAAGTCTGAAAATACAAAGAAAGTAAAGAGGTAAAAAGTAGCTATACATTTACACAAGGTATTATATTTCATAACTGTCTGAAAATGGCTTTTTGTAATGTTAAATATTATATTAGCATTAATCTAAGGGCACTCCATCTCTCCAAGTCTCAGAGATGAAATACATAAACTGTTTTCCGCAGGTGTCATTTTTGATACGGTGCACTTAAGTCAGCAGTTCTAGATTTTAAAGGTGAACATTTTGCTTTTCTTAACATTTATGCATGCTATAGGCTGTACAGATCTATAATAGCACCTTTTCCCTCATATGCCAATTGTGAAGGGTAGGCCTATATGGATGAATGAGAACTGTACATATATATATATATACTGTACATATCCACATTTATTATATTCTTCAATTTTTAAGCTTTTTATATTCTAATCTTACCAACTTCTACTATTATTTCTATTCCTTTATACCCCCAATGTACAAGCAAGTATCTGTAACAAAATTTCCCCTCTGGGATCAAGAAAGTATTCTGATTAATAAGATTTAGGCCTAGGTGATAATCAAATAATAATTGATTTTCTTATTTACTGTAAAAGGACAGTATGTATAGATATAGACTACCAAAGTAGTGTGATAAAGCATGACAATATGAAGGTAAACAGTTAAAAAAAATACATGAATTAAGTTATTAGGTGATTACATTAGAAAATTAAGGCCATTATGGAGTAAAACAGAAAATGCTATGCTGATTAGGGAATTGGCAGGAGTAGATTTTTCAACTGCCAGACCAATGTACACTCAGGTATAAGCCATGGGTAGAATACACACTGAGGATGCTCCAGTTAGTCATCCACATATCTTTTCGTTGCACCTTGATTTGCTATGAAGAATCTGATTCATACAAACTACAGTGAAATTCATTAGATTGTAGCTCAGTTCATGATTTAATGGCAATTGCAACCTTTTCACACAGATTAATTACTATGAACATTTATTGTTTCTCTAAATTTACTTTATATGCATAATAGAGCCTAATGTGTGGACATAAAAAGAAAGAAAGAAACCTAATGCTCAACATTTAGCCAAATCTCCCTCAGTTAATGCAGCTCAGTCAGCAAGTTCTCTTTATACTGTAAACACTGAGATTGGGGTTAATTAATGTTTAGTAAATAAATAACAGTAACCTTTAGGCCTATACTGTCATAATAGGTGCAGTTTGGAATAATGTTGAGCTGAATTCAACAAATGTATTAATTATATTTTACTCACTTTTGTTTGAATAAATCAGCTATTAATAACTGAGTATAATTTAATTGCATTACTCAATGGAAGATGTTTGGTTTTAATTACCTTACACTTCCTCCCAAGGATTTTGGACACATCAGTCATTAGGATTGCAAGGACTGACATTTTCCCAAAGGTTAGGCCTGTTAAATTATTGTTTGTAACCGAACAATTTATAACCAAGTTACTGTAGCAGTTGTCTAGTGATAGGGATTTTAATTAGTATAACATTATACAGTATAATAAATTCCCTTTTAAGACAGCACTTAATCCAGTTCAACAATTTTCTGGCCTCAGCTTGAGCTTCTTCCCACACCTCAAGAAGCTATAGCCAGTGGCGCTGTCGGGGGTGGGTCAGGCGGGACCACGGCCCCCCTGAAAAAATTGGTGGCCTTAACAACTGTGATTGGTCGGCTGGGTAGCTTTGCAATGCCTCCAAGCCAACAGGAAGTGCCCCGTGCTTTGAAGTAACTTTTACTAGCGGCCAAAACAGCGTCTGTAACATGGTGGATCAATATATTTGACCGTCACAACCCGAGTGAAATGACTCGTTTCACAGAATGTGATCCCTTCGGTCGAAAATGTTTGAAAAGGCTACACCAGCCGCAAGTATATAATTTTACCCCCATTCACATTAGCGGAGGGCTAAACCGGAAGTTAGCCTTCTCGGCCGGCGAAAGTCATCACGCTGTAATATTACTGCCAACTAGCATTCTATATCTTGCCAAAGGACAATTCGACATGCAGCCTTGAGGAGCTGGGGATTGAATAGCCACAGACACTGCCGTGTTTGATAAGCACGGCTGCACCTCTGGCTTCAAGGGAGACCATCCTGTGCCTTTCTACATCTTCCTTTCTTTTTGTTCTTTGCCATAACTCAACGCATTGGCCATGCTGTCTTTCGAAAGACAGCTGATTCAGCAGTTACATGACTTCTTTACCAAAGTCTTTGAGTAGTTTGCCTAGAGGAAGAACTGGTGCCCTCTTGAGGAGAAAGACATCTCCTCAAGAGGGCCCTCAGCTGTGCTGAGTGAAATCATAATATGATCCTGAGTTTGTGCTGCTGGTCCGTGCATTGGCCAACTAGTATGGAAGGTGATAAGTGTCAAGAGTGTCCATGCATATCTTATTAAGGTTGTTGTCATAATGATGTTGTCATATAGATGCTTTCACACTGACTTATATTCCAGTATATTCCAGAGCCGGAAAGGGGGGTCAGATTTGATCAACTGATCCAGAGTTGGTAGTAACAGAACCAGAATGATGTCTGTGTGAAAAGCCATGGAACAGGTGTGGCGTTTCAACGCTGTTGTGTTACAAGACACAGTCTTTTTTTTAAACAGTCTAACCTGGAGAGCCAAATCACAATGTGAAAGCAAACAATCCTGTTGTGGGATTATGCCACAATATTTTGTTCAGTATGAATGAGCGAAAGCGGCGTATTGGCGAACATTCTTTCTGCGTTGATTGCAGGATCTCTTTGAAAGCGACCATAGAAAGATAGAATGTCAATAAAGCTGATGTAGTAATTTGAAGTTGCTTGGATAAAAGCGTCTGTTAAATGTAATGTAATGTTTGTGTCAATGTACTCTATATTTCAATTAGATTGTTATTGTATAGGCTAAAATGAAACAAAAAATATTTATACTCTGTGATGTCTGTAATCTCGAGTAGACTTGTTCTCAGTACGTTTTGTTCCTCGCAGTAAATGCACTTCTAACAATATTTGTTTTTATAAGGAAAAGGGCAATTAGCATATTTCAAGAACAATTAATTTACTAAGACATACAGATACATAACGCATTAAAACATGATTTTATGGATCTCAAAATGTTAACTGAAACTATATTTATTCTATGGACATTAGACAATTAGTAACATTAACTGTAAAATAAGAAACCAAAGTATATCAGTCTGCGATTCCTTAACTCATACTTTGACATAGTTTTCAACTAGTCTATATCCTGCATAATGAAATTCCTGAAATTCAGTTATCGCTTTTGGTTCCATTGGCGTTAGTAACGTTAGATTGTGTCTTTACATTTTGAAACAAAGGGCTCTATTTCATCTTTCTTTCTTTTGTTAATATGGTCTTACCCCTGATGTGTCTACTTGTAATGTACACTTAAAGGTCTTTAAAAGAGATAAGCCTCTAGGCCAATAAATATTTTCACTATTGATGGCACATAGAAGGCAGGAATAGCTAGTTAAAAACATATTTTGTTGAAATAATTAGTCCTTTATTTTTTATATAAAAGTATTCCCTTAAAATTCACTAACTTTGAAATGTTCTTCATGGTAATCACAGTGAATAAAGTGCTTCATTAAAAAAACAAACACACAAACTGACAAGGATCTAATGTTTTGTTGCACTTTATTCAGCAAACACAGCATGTTACAA